CACCTTTACCTACACCTACACCTACACCTACACCTACACCTACACCTACACCTACACCTACACCTACACCTACACCTACACCTACACCTACACCTACACCTACACCTACACCTACACCTACACCTACACCTACACCTACACCTACACCTACACCTACACCTACACCTACACCTACACCTACACCTACACCTACACCTACACCTACACCTACACCTACACCTACACCTACACCTACACCTACACCTACACCTACACCTACACCTACACCTTCACCTACACCTACACCTACACCTACACCTACACCTACACCTTCACCTACACCTACACCTACACCTACACCTACACCTACACCTACACCTACACCTACACCTACACCTACACCTACACCTACACCTACACCTACACCTACACCTACACCTACACCTACACCTACACCTACACCTACACCTACACCTACATCAACACCTACACCTACACCTACACCTGCACATTACCACAACACATTACACCTGCAAATTACACATTACATATTACACCTACACATAACACCTACACTTACACTTACACTCACACCAACATCTACACATACACGGATATCGACACCTACGCCTATACATTACACCTTAACCTTTACCTTCAACATCTTTTTAATCTTGCCATAGTCGATCCTTTTACCATTGACCTCGATAACTGTGACATTAAAACAGGTTCCCAAGATGTCAAGCACAAATGCGTATCCCAGGTCTGGCTCTATTGTTGTAGTACCAGTGATGCCTGTGGAACAAAAACAGTAGTAAAGAACAGTAGGTTAATGGGGGTCAATGGGACCAACACGGTACTTGTTAGTTTTGAACTTCAAGGCTAAAAGGGATCAGGGAACACACACAGAGCTGGTTAGTTGGGGACTTCATATCTAATGGGGATCAGGGAATAAACGTGATCAACGCAGGGTTAATGATTTGAGGAGTGGATACGAGGGGATGATCGGGTGGTAATTGGTTAGTTAGAAATGCCATGCTTCACTTAACTCATAAACTTGACACCTAGACTTTGCCTCCATAAACTTTCTCCAATAGTCTTATATAGCACTAATGTGGATGGAAACTTGGGTTAAAGACACAATTTTTAATCATTTTTTACAAAATTAAACTTTCTAAAATATAATAGAATCTCGTAGAAAAAAGAATTGCACACCTAGTGAACAGAAAAGTTCGGAATACTAGTACTTTATTAAATCATAAGCTGTTTTTTGACAAATCGGAAATGGCGTTAAGTACTACTTGCGAGCACAGAAAATAACTTAAAATTTTACGAAAGGAAGAACATTAGATCTTTTACATATATTTCGTTTATTTTTCTGAAACAGTAATCAAGGTTTAGGCTTTTGAAAAACCAAAAGTAGAAACGTTCCACTTCCGGCTACCGGAAGTCGTTAAAAAAGTTGATACCGAACTACACATTCGATATAATCTTGCACATATGAAATGTCATCAAATGGACTGTTATAGTACTCAAGTTACTTTGTTCACAATCGGACACATAAACACAAACAAACATATACGGACAAATTTGCAAAACTAAGTTTTTCCGACTCAGAGTAGTGTAAAACGTCGAGATTTGTGAAAATATCGATTTCATCTTTTTGCACGAGTACAATACTTCGTCTATGCTTCATATTTCGAGAAAGTAAAAATAAAATTAGCCCCTTCATCTATAATGTAAACCTTCAAACCTGTAAAGTAAGTCTCTATAACTATAGCCTACACGCCCATAACACATATAAAGTTAGACCCTACAACTATAATGTGCGGATATTAGTTGACTTCCAGCTACTCATGTTATTAGAAATAATGTCCCCACGTGTTTGCTAGATGACTTACCGCTAATATCATCACACGGCAAGTTCCCCACTGTTTCGTTAGCCGGGCACGTATTGAAGTTGTTGGTGAAGTCCATCTCGCCCAAACTCAGCCTCTGTCCGGTGCACTTGACGTCATGAGGGAAACGGCCCAGAGCGTTCAAACCGTGTCTGCTGTTCCGCTCGTTGATGTTTGACTCGCTCTCAATGGAGCACGTCGCATAGAGGGAATCGTTACTACAGCGGTAATGATCCTGGCATCGAGCTCCAAACCTCAACACATCGCAGCCTGGATATAACGAAGCTATATATTGAGGCTGTTATATATTAATATAATATTTTATGTTAAAAAATATATTTTTTTAAGATTGATTTAAATTTCTCTTACCTAGCAGAGGGCAGGTAACGATTAACAAGATAGGTAGTTTCCATGTCCAGGTGACATCCATTTCAATGTGTCTAAATTCTGATCTCTTTATCAAAAATATCGTTTTACTAAAATTAATGATTTCTCTTCTTAATTGATTATCATGGTTATTGTAATTTAGACACGTGAGTGTTCTTATATTAAATTTTATTTAATTAAGTAAATGTAGCTTGTTACCATACATGTCAAGTAGGATTGAACCGTTTACATTTTTTAGAAATGTGTTAAACATCCACCCTTACACATGCACAACCACACCAGTTATATGCTGTATAATCTTACTCAGCCTATGTACATCAGGTATTGTCTTGATAGCATCAGTGCCTTCCAGCTCAGCGGCCCTTTTAACTGGGTATGTGTTTAATGTTCTCTGAACTGCAAATGTTAAAACTTTATCAAAACACAAAACTGCTAAATACATTTTTTAAGCAAGACATGTACTGATAGAAATAAAAGTATATTTTAATAGTAATCTATTGTTTTAGGTATACAAAATTGGCCAGAGCTAGTAATGTGAAAAGAAAGTTAACTAATTAAAATGGTAAACACACAAGAGTAGTGTAATATATTGTATCAAATATAATAGAAAGCAATGTCTAAGTATAGCATTATAGGCCAGAAATGAACATTAAACAACAGTGTTTGAGAGCAAGATTTTCTATATAAAACAGCACCCATCTGTTTTTTTTTTTTATGTGGCTTCACTGAAATTATAATTATAATATACAAAAAAAAAACAACTTTATATCGATGGTTGCTAAGTTAACAAGCATTGTTGCATCTGATGAAAACATAACTAATCTTTATTTAATACTCAAAGTTTTAAAAAACGTGTTTAAAAAAATGTACTAGTTCTAGATCTATCTTCGGCCGATGTTATGTGCCTCAAATTATAGATTACCTTTTAAATATATTGACCAGTTTTAATTTGAAGTAAAATTATTTATTTCCCTTTTACCCAGCCCAAAAAAAAAAGATACTTTAAGACCACTGCTAAGGCAGATGGTGTAAACAATTGCTGCTAGATGATATGTAGGCCGACTCGTTCAAATTCAATGCGCAACGGTGTAACACATAAAAAGGAGCGCAACAAAATGTATATGTGTCGTGTGTCTGTGTGTTTGTGTGTGTGTTGTGTGTGTCTGTGTGTGTGTTTGTGTGTGTCTGTGTGTCTGTGTGTGTCCGTATCTGTATATATATATATATATATATATATATATATATATATATATATATATATATATATATATATATATATATATATATATGTATATATATATATATATATACATATATATTTATATATGTATATATATATATACATATATATATATATATATATATATATATATATATATATATATATATATATATATATGTGATTGTGTGATAAGGTGTGTGTGCTTGTGTGTGTTGTGTGTCTGTACATAGAAACAAGATAACTTGAGTACCGTTCTTGTTAGGTTTATGAATCTTCACTAACACTCCACATAACCAAACTTTTCACTCCAGGCAAACAAAGGCTTCAAGAAACATATACAAACTCTTCACGTTATCAAACTTTACACATTAATAAACTATTTGCAATACCAAACTCTTCACCATCCCCTTCACTGCATTCAAAACCTATTGCCCCTCCTCTACAACAATCCGTCCAAACCCATGAACAGCGAGATCCCTCCCATATAACCCAAACCCTTGACGTAGTAGATTTCATCCAAATAAGACCAAATCCCCTGACGTAAACCAAAAGTTTTAACAGCTGTTTTGACATGTATAGTACCTATTATATATATATATATATATATATATATATATATATATATATATATATATATATATATATATATATATATATATATAATATTGTAATTTAATATGACAAATACTATATAATGGTTACTTGTTTTTACTTGCTCGTAGAAGAACTAAAGAGAAAGTATTGTTATCGTGCAAAACTAAACCCAAAAAACAACATCATTTAACAAACATCTAACAAAACAGAGAAAAAATTCCTAACTATAAAATACATTTATGAAGAAAAGAAAAACAGTTGATATATAAATATTTTACAATTTAATACCAATTGAAGGTTAATGTTTTAACACGTTTCATATAAAATAATGTGTCTAAAAATAGTATTGATATTATTATAATACTGTATTATTTTATTATAATGCTTTGTTTTTAAAAAGCAATCTCAACAATGTTAAAATCTATTTCTTTCTTAGCCGATGTCATTTAGCACTTGTGATTTTTTTACCTGTGTTTTCGTTTTCTCTTTAAAGATACGTGTTCACAGTTTTATTCTAATATTTCATTTAGCTAAATTACATTTTTTTAATTATAAATATTTTCGCCCGAAAACTTGAGTACCTAGATATCTTATACATGAGGCAGGACGAGAAAGATGACATTTTTTCTATGTGATAGGATGTTTTTTTTAATCACATTAAAAAATAGAATGGAGAGAAAAAAATAGATAAAATAGCTGAAAATAAACATGTGAATTTTACAGAAGCGGGAAAAAGAGTAGCCTATACTTTTTTTTGGTGATATTCTAAGATACCTATTAAAATCATTCAGGTGGAATACAAAGAAAGTGGAAATGGGAAATTCTTTCAAATTTAGAAAAGTTAAAAAAAAAAAGTGATGTTTGTAAAGCTGATACAACGTTGACATAGCGATTAAAACCACATAGGCTGGTCGATGTGCTAGGGTTGCTGCAGAACGTAGTCAACCCGCAGGTGCAGCCTGCTGTTGGAAAGCGGCTATCTGTTGCTGTAGGTTTAATACAAATTGATTCAGTCTTCGCCTTCTTTGCCAAAAATCTGGAAAAAAACAAAGTACAACAAACCAGATGAGCGAGAACTTAACATTGTTCTCTTATTCCATACAGCGGAGCATGGAAGTTAAAAAGAAAAATTGATCACATGAGTAAAAATATCTGACCTTAACCCCTTATGCCCAACTCCCATTGCTAAATACTGCAAATAAGAAATACAATAGGGCTAGTAAGTCTCTGTCTTTTTCACTGAAAATTCAAAAACTCGTTTTCCAGGGAGGGATACATTTTTAAACTAAATAATTTTTTAACATTGTTCTTATTAATAACACATTAAAAAATACATGGCGGCTATTTGTTTCTTGGCCTTACTTCAATCTTTTAAAACACCGGGAGTACTCATATATAACAATTATAATTTTTTTTTCTTAAAAATAGAATCAAATTGAGTACATAGGCTATTAATATATTGTAACCAAATTACTATAACCTGTTTCTTATCCCAATAGATAAGAACAAACTGTACGCTTAGTATATAGACGCTTATATATCTATATCTATATATATATATATATATATATATATATATATATATATATATATATATATATATATATATATATATATATATATATATATATATAATTCTCTTCTGGGAGCCGTTAGAAAAACGAGCTTGAAACGCGCCTTGCAATCCCCTCTCTTCCTCTCTGTCGCTACCACCCCCCAACCCCCTCACATGGTCTGGTGAGCTGTGGTTCACGCTAAATCATAATGTTTACATTTTACAATCGTAGAGCCGGGTTTGGTGACGGCTGTTGGGGGCAGATTATTTAGTTTGAAACGATTTTAAACTTAAAGGAGGTAAATAAGAGGAGGCTGCTTTCACGGGGGGGGGGGAAGGGGGGGGGCTGAATGGGGGGTTTAGTGTTGTAAAGCAAATATTTTCAGTGGCAGCATTGGTACTGTCGAATTCGCAAATTATGAATTACTGAAAAGTAGAAAAAACAACAACTAAATAGCGGCGTATGATACACCGCGGGTCGGCTCGTATATATATAATTCTCTTCATGGAGACCCATGCGGGACACCACCTCGTATACCCACGCCGACCCGACCCACCCTCGCTCTAAAGGCATGCTCAACAGACCATATCAATACCACCCCCCTCCACCACACCAACACAATTCTGGTGAGCCGTGGATCAAGCCGAAATGTTTACAATCGTAGACGCGGGTCGAAATAGTGATGGCTGTTAGGGGCAGATAATTTAGTTTCTAAACGATTTGAAACTAAGGAGAGGTAATAACAAGTTCTGCTCGAACTTTTCATTGTCGTCTGTAAACCGTCTTCATTGACGGCTGCTTTCACAGGGGCGGGGGATGGGGGAGGGAGGGGGAATAATAGTCGCTGAATTGGTAGTGTCGAATTCACAAATTAGGAGTTACTGAAATGTAGAAAATAAAACAATTTAATAGCGGCGTATGCTACGTCGCGGGTCGGCTCATGTACAATAAAATAACTTACTCAAAAAATAGACCGTTGCTATGAAGATTGTTACACCGATTACAGCAATAGATGTTTCTTTTAAATCAACAATTATCAGTATCACTCTGATGATCCTTTTCTCATTCCTATTCAATGTAATAAAGGAAAGCATTTAGTAAAAGTCAGTGAAACATTGTTTACAAAAAAAGAAGAGAAATTATCGAGTTAAAATAAAACTATACGTACCAATCAAAGCATTTTCCTGATCTATCACAATTTTTTAAATTGAAATCTTGGGCTGTAAAAAAAGTAAAAATGTATAGATATTTATTTAAAAGGAAGGGGAAAGCTAGGAGTTGTGATACAAGAGATGTTTTTTTATTAAAAATTAGCCCGTTGTATTAATAAACTGTATCGTAGAGGTAACTACCACAGGTGGGTTTTATTTTGTTTTGAAAATTAGAAACAGTAGCCATATTATGTCCCAAGTATCAGAAATAATTTTGGATTACGTTTAGGGAATGCTGGGGATTATACTTAAGGAGAGGGGCAAGATATTAAATGAGAATGATTAGATAAGGGCTTATAGAAAGCAGTTGATTTTGAGACTGGAATTGTGTATGTGTTGTTGTAAGCGTATGGATCTCCCCCACGGTCTAGCTGTGTATCAGGTGTTCAGAGCACGGGTTCTCGCATCTGATGGGAGGGAAGATAAGCCTGTTGAGAACCCACGGAAGATAGCGACCAAACTTCGGTGATGAAACCTTCATCTTCTAAGCCAGTTTGTCGAAGTTTAGTGCATGGAGGTGTACATAAACAATGGAAGTTGCGCTCCAGAGCCGGAATCTCTGTGTTACGATAGTAAATAAATCTAGGGTAGTGGTTCTTAGCCTAGGGTAGTGGTTCTTAGCCTAGGGTAGTGGTTCTTACACTGGGTTCGGTCGAACCCCAGGGGTTCGGCGAGTCAGTGTCGTGGATTCGGCGGAGGTCAATTCACACACTTCTGACTTGTATGATTCACGATAGGGTATTGTCAGAGCGGAGCTTAAAACCAATAAGTAGGGTTTGGTGAATGCGCATATAAAACGTGTGGGGTTCGTTACCTCCAAAAAGGATAAGAACCACTTGGCTTGGTTATAGATGTTAGCTTTAGATTCGGCTCTGTGTAGAGTGGGCCTAGATGAGGTATTTAATATCCATGTGTATTTACTATATTTAGTCCTAGTTAACTAAATCATTGATTTTAGTAGAGTCAGGCTTTTACGACTATATATATATATATATATATATATATATATATATATATATATATATATATATATATATATATATATATATATATATATATATTAGATTAAAAAAGTACTTAGTATGATATAAATTTTTAAATAGAAAAAAATTCTTCACAGAGGTGAAGTTCAAAACAACAAACTGACTTGTTTCTCACCGTCTTTCTTCCCGACACGGAACTTCTCGAAACTTCCGGCTAGTGTAACCCCAGTGAAGTTGTAAAACAGAGGGTAAGTGTCGCTAATAATAATAATATATCCAGGCTGTATGTAGAGCTTCATCTCATCGGCGTCAGAGGTCAAGGCCAGGCCCAGCTCGCTATCGTTGGTCTCGGTGACGTTCAGCAATATCTAAGGACGGACAAAAAGGTACAGCTGACAAATGTTTATACAGACACTCGTAAATTATCTTTGTTCTATTGTATTTTAAAAAAAACAACAAGCGTACAACAGATTATATTACTTTTCTTTTTTCTTTCAGTTCCATTACAACTTTTGTGATTAAACATAATTGTCCAACTATAATATAACTAGCCGTCCCGGCCAGGCCCTGCTCTGGCTTCTGTGAAAAACCTTTCTGTTAAAGACCATTAACTGTGTGTTTAGTAATCATCATAAACCTGGCACTGCCCACCCAAACCACAACCAACCAAAACCAAAACAACAAAATGCAAACATAACGCTAACACAATTACAAATACAAACAAAAACAAAAACCTAACAACAAACCCAACCACAAACACAAACACCAATACAAACACAAAGAAAAAACAAACAAAAAAGCAAACGAAAACAAAAACCTAACAACAAACCCAACCACAACCACAAACACCAATACCAACACAAAAAAAAACAACGAAAAAGCAAACGAAAACAAACCAAATCCAAACGCAAAACCAACCAAAAACACAAATACAAACCCAAAGAAAAAAACACAATCAAAAACGAAAACAGAAAGAACAAAAACGAACCAAATCAAAACGCAACCACTAACGCAAACCCACCTAAACACAAAGAAAACACTAACGCGAACATAAACGCCCGGGGCGGAATCACCTGTTTTAGCTTAATGAACGACTATAGTACCCCAACTTATTCACAGTCTTTTACACTCACTTATACGAACGCGCCTGTTTCAATTTAATGAACAATTTTAATACTCCAAGCTTATCCGTAAAATACCTACAACATTTGCACTTGATCAATCCCCGCTAATTATGTAATTATTTTTTTTCCCAACACCAAAACAAAGTAATTAAAAAGACAAAGTAATTAAAAAGTAAATCCTTGTCCACAAATGCAATGGTTTTATAAAGGGAAGTAATTGTGTTTTCCTAATTTATCAAAGGGAAGTAAGTGCTATAGGACTAAATAAAGACATAATTAGAATTTTTGTAAAAGATGATATTTTTTTAAAACTTGTGTTGAATGAACATGCCGACAATTATTACTATAATTTGAAAAATGAAAATTATTTCCCAACACTTTCAATAGTAATTTTTTAACTCATAAATTTAGACAAATGCGCACGATAATTGTCTAACACTTAAATCCATCCAAGACCAACGACAAACATATGCGTTACATACAGAACTGAGCTTTATATATTAGATTAAACTTTAACCCTAGATTATTTTTGAAGTAAAAATAAAGTCGAAGTAATTTCAATGTGGTACGTTGGCGATCATAACATTTCAAAATACACTGGCGGCAGGGAAGTAGAGTTCACGTGTTTCAGTGAGGATAGTGTAATCACCAGTATGCCGAACTGCATTTACTTTCCCTAACGTGAATTACGAACTAATCAGAGGTCGTTGGGTTCAGGGCAGGCTTACAGGAAGGATCCTGTGATCCGAACTCCTGACTTTCAGGTTAGCAGTCAAACGCTCTACCATTTGAGCAGTCCGTTTGTAAATCACTTGTGGACTATCCGCGATTTCTGATGTTCTAATATGTGGACAACTTGTTTAAGAGAAATGCATCGTTTATATCAAAGTGTCTATGCAATCTCCCTCTCTCTCTCTCTCTTCTCCTGTTTGTGCCCAAGACACATGGGTCAGATGAAGTAGAGTTCTTCTGTTTTATATACCTCTGCCTTTGAAAGGATAGTGTAATCAGCACTATGCCCAGTCGCCTCTGTTTCCATAACGTGAGTTAAGTACCCATCAGAGCTGGGTGAACTCAGGCACATTCTGCTAACTTGAACCCCCCGGTTTCGAACTCTACCTTAAGGGTTAACAGTCTACCTCTATACCGGTAGGTCCCGCTGTCCCATCAAGCCTAATCAAACGCCGCTCAACTGATTCCTACCTTGGCTTTGTCGGTCTTTTCTCTTATGAGGATAAAGCAGACGCTGATCACCTTGCCCGATTGGTCGACCTGAAATGTGTATACGAGGTCCGGCTTGGTGGTGCCATTGTTGGTGCTGCCTGGGGAACAAAGAAGGTGCTGGCAAGTAAGGAACAGTTGGGCTAATGGGGAACAAACATGTTGCTTTTAAGTAGGGAACAGTTGGGCTAATGGGGAACAAACATGGTGCTTTTAAGTAGGGAACAGTTGGGCTAATGGGGAACAAACATGGTGCTTTTAAGTAGGGAACAGTTGGGTTAATGGGGAACAAACATGGTGCTGGTAAGTTGGGAACAGTTTGACTAATGAGAAACAAATCTGGTGCTTTTTAGTTGGGAACAGTTGTTGAACTGGGGAATATATCTGGTTATGGTTACTAGGGAACAGGTTGGCTAATGGGGGTCCTCCCAATAGTTACTATGCTACATAAGTGTTCAGTTTTTAAATCACTTTTAATGACAATGTATTCTGCGTCTATTTATCGGCGTTTCATTTTTACTTTCTCGTATATAGATCTACGAAGTATAGAGAAAGCCTTGGAATCGTGCAAAAAAAAAAATCGAGATTTTTACAAATCTCGACGTTTTACACCTCACTGATACGGAAAAACATAATTTTGCAATGTCTGTGTGTCTGTCTGTTTGTGTGTGTATCTGTCCGTGTATAAACACGATAACTTGAGTACCGTTATTACTAGGTTGATGAAATTTCATAAATAAGTATTTTATCAAAATCGTAGATCCGTATCAACTTTTGAGCGATTTCCGATAACCGGAAGTAGTACTTTTTCTACTTTGAATTCTTAAAAAGCCTATAACTTGAGTACTACTTCATACAGATAAATGAAATTTCACATGTTAGTAAAAGATCTAATTTTCTACCTTCTATTGAATTTTGAGTAATTTCCGTTGACGGGAAGTACTAATTTACGCTATTTCCGATTTCTCAAAAAACGCATGCAAATTTAAAAAGTACTAATAATATTGCGCACATTATTATGCACATTTTGTTTTGGCGTTCGCTTGATGCGCATTTCTTTTTTTTTTACGAGATTCTATTCTATTTTTAAAAGTTTAAGTAATTAAAAATCATGTCTATATTCCGAGTTATATAAGAATATTCGAGAAAGTTTAGGGGAGATCACTCCCGGTTTATTTTAAACTCATATTTTCACTTATTTTGAAATTTTCTTATTTGTTTAATTTAATGTTGGAGCATTCCTGACATTGAGAGTTAAACAAAATTAAGGAATCTACTATATTGGCGGTTTGTGATCGTAATGCGAAGAATAGCGGGGTAATCACTAACAGCTAGGATTTAAAAAACAACGTATAAATAGTTAACATTACTTTACATTTTTTTTTAAAATCACAGTATCCCCGTCGACGCAAGCTAACTTACGATTAGCGATGTTATCAAAACACATGAACTCGACGCTTTCCTTAACCGGGCACGTATTTAAGTTTTTGGTGAAGTTTGTCCGGCTCATATTCAGGCCCTCTTCGTTCTCAGTGCGTATGACGTCATGGGGAAAACAGCTCAGACATCTCGCGTCGAGTTTCCTGTCGTCTTCACAGTGTGACACTACCGAGTCCCTCTTGTACCAGGACTCGTTACTACAGCGGTAGTTATCCTGGCAATCAGATCTAAACCATCTGACATCACAGCCTGAAAAAAATTGATTAACAAACGCGTCATTGTCTTGTGGCTATTTTAAATTCTAACCGATCATAGAAAATTAAACAAATGATCATTTAATGTATTTACAATGTAAAAGGCCAAAATAATTTTTAATATGCATATACTTAAAAAATGTTTTTTTTTAAAGGATTTTTAGCTTGTTATGCTAATCTCTACAAATAATATGAATTTACAACGTAAAAACCAAATTAATTTGGAATATGTTTATACTTAAATCATGATTTTTTTTAAAAACGGATTTTAGATTTTTATGCTAAGCTCTACAAATAATATAAATTTATTCATTTAAGCTGACTTAGTAAAAAAAAATATTTAAAAAAATATTCTGTTAGACAATAGTTTATTATTATCTTACCGAGCAGAGGGTGAGTAATGTATAAAATGAAAATTAATTTCCAGGACTTCGTAATCTCCATGTCAATGTCTGGCCTAATTCTCTGGCCTAATTTAAATTGCTTTTCAGCGGCTTATATTCAATACAAAAATATGATAAGGTGTGTAATCGGTGGTTTCCAAACGGCCTTAATGTTTTTAAATGGAATTATAATTGTATGCTTTACCATATTTTAACACAATATTTTTTTTTAAATTAGTATGGTTACATAGTCTTTTCAAGCCTATTGCAACAAGCCTGTCTGCTTTCAATATGTTTTTACTTAATCAATAATTTTCAAAAGTATTATTGTTATTACGAGAAGCTTAGCAAAAATATACATGGAAGGTGTGATATTTAATCATTTTAAAATGGGAGCCGGAAAGACACTTGCACGAATGCCGTTTGCCGAAGGCGGATTGCCCGAATGGAAACTTGCCCGAATGGGAGAAACGCCGGATGGACACTTGCCAGAATGCGACAAAAGGCACGAATGGAAGGATGGAAGGTTGGATGGATAGGGGATATGTTTATATTCCTAAACGAAACACGTTGTACGTACCAATATTTTTATAAAACATCAGTTTACTAATATTTTACTTATTTATTTTCAAATTTATTTACAAAGGTGAAAGTCACAACAAGGAACTGACTCAGGTATCTCACCTTTTCCCCGCCAGTCACGGAGCCAATCACATAATCCGTTATTTGTAAACTCCTTCACGTTGAACAGCCGGGTGTTGTTTTCAATGATTTCAACGACAAACTCAGACGGGATTTCGACACTCATCACATTCCTGTCATAGTTCTCGTCCAGCTCGGTGCGGTTTGTTTTCATTTGGGTAAATTCAAACTTTAGATGGAAGGAAAATTGCAGAAGTTATAGGTTTATAAAGATAGAGTAAAATATATTCTGTATTCTAATACAAGATTATTATTACAAGATTATTAGTGTAAAAGGGGTCTCGTATAGACGTTGTTTTTGTAGTAATGTAACAAGGGCTATGTTCAGGTTTATTTTGTAGACAATAATGAGGATTAAATGACAAGAATATGGCGAATATTAGGATCACACAAAGAATAAGTTGAAAGGTTGAAAGGTACCGAGATAGCGACATTTGAAGTAATTTAAACACTGTAACGTTTGTTGGTAGTGATAAGAGCAAACCGTAAAAATAAACGGCATAATGGTAGTAGATTGTAGTAAAAAATCTATGAGACTATTGAACAAAAACACGATCGATAAATGTATGATACCATAAACCTACACATGCATATTACACCTACACCTATACCCACACTTACGTCTGCACGTACACGTACACGTACATGTACACGTACACGTACACGTACACGTACACGTACACGTACACGTACACGTACACGTACACGTACACGTACACGTACACGTACACGTACACGTACACGTACACGTACACGTACACGTACACGTACACGTACACGTACACGTACACGTACACGTACACGTACACGTACACGTACACGTACACGTACACGTACACCTACACCTACACCTACACCTACACCTACACCTACACCTACACCTACACCTACACCTACACCTACACCTACACCTACACCTACACCTACACCTACACCTACACCTACACCTACACCTACACCTACACCTACACCTACACCTACACCTACACCTACACCTACACCTACACCTACACGAACACGTACACGTACACCTACACCTACACCTACACCTCCACCTCCACCTCCACCTCCACCTCCACCTACACCTCCACCTACACCTACACCTACACCTACACCTACACCTACACCTACACCTACACCTACACCTACACCTACACCTACACCTACACCTACACCTACACCTACACCTACACCTACACCTACACCTACACCTACACCTACACCTACACCTACACCTACACCTACACCTACACCTACACCTACACCTACACCTACACCTACACCTACACCTACACCTACACCTACACTTACACCTACACCTACACCTACACCTACATCAACACCTACACCTACATCTACATCTACACCTACACCTACACCTACACCATCACATTACCAGGACACATTACACCTGCAAATTACACATTACATATTACACCTACACATAACACCTACACTTACACTCACACCAACATCTACACATACACGGATATCGACACCTACGCCTATACATTACACCTTAACCTTTACCTTCAACTTCTTGATAATCTTGCCATAGTCGATCCTTTTACCATTGACCTCGATAACTGTGACATTAAAACAGGCTCCCAAGACGTCGAGCACAAATGTGTATCCCAGGTCTGGCTCTATTGTTGTAGTACCAGTGATGCCTGTGGAGCAAACACAGTAGAAAAGAACAGTTGGTTAAAGGGGATCACGGGAACCAACACGGTTCTGGTTAGTTGGGAACTTCAAGGCTAAAAGAGATCAGGGAACACACACAGAGCTGGTTAGTTGGGGACTTCAAGGCTAAAACGGATCAGGGAACAAACGTGGTACTTGTTAGTTGGGAACTTCAAGGCTAAAAAGGGATCAGGGAACACACACAGAGCTGGTTAGTTGGTGACTTCATATCTAATGGGGATCAGGGAATAAACGTGATGAACGCAGGGTTAACGATTTGAGGAGTTGATACGAGGGGATGATCGGGTGGTAATTGGTTAGTTAGAAATGCCATGCTCCACTTAACTCATAAACTTGACACCTAGACTTTGCCTCCATAAACTTTCTCCAATACTCTTATATAGCACTAATGGGGATGGAAACTTGGGTTAAAGACACAATTTTTAATCAATTTTTACAGACTTAAACTTTCTAAAATATTATAGAATCTCGTAGAAATAAGAATTGCACACCTAGTGAACAGAAACGTTCGGAATACTAGTACTTTATTAAATCATACGCTGTTTTTTGACAAATCGGAAATAGCGTAAAGTACTATTTGCGAGCACAGAAAATAACTCAAAATTTGACGAAAGGAAGAAAATTAGATCTTTTACATATATTTCGTTTATTTTTCTGAAACAGTAATCAAGGTTTAGGCTTTTGAAAAACCAAAAGTAGAAACGTTCCATTTCCGGCTACCGGAAGTCGTTAAAAAGTTGATACCGAACTACACATTCGATATAATCTTGCACATATGAAATGTCATCAAATGGACTGTAATAGTACTCAAGTTACTTTGTTCACAATCGGACACATAAACACACACAAACATATACGGACAAATTTGCAAAACTAAGTTTTTCCGACTCAGAGTGGTGTAAAACGTCGAGATTTGTGAAAATATCGATTTCATCTTTTTGCACGAGTACAATACTTCCTCTATGCTTCATATTTCGAGAAAGTAAAAATAAAATTAGCCCCTTCATCTATAATGTAAACCTTCACACCTGTAAAGTTAGTCTCTATAACTATAGCCTACACGCCCATAACACATATAAAGTTAGACCCTACAACTATAATCTGCGGATATTAGTTGACTTCCAGCTACTCATGTTATTAGAACACAATGTCCCCACGTTTTGCTCGATGACTTACCACTAATAATGTCATCACATGGCAAGTTCCCCACTGTTTCGTTAGCCGGGCACGTATTGAAGATGTTGGTGAATTCCATCTCGCCCAAACTCAGCCTCTGTCCGGTGCACTTGACGTCATGAGGGAAACGGCCCAGAGCGTTCAAACCGTGTCTGCTGTTCCGCTCGTTGATGTTTGACTCGTTCTCAATGGAGCACGTCGCATAGAGGGAATCGTTACTACAGCGGTAATGATCCTGGCATTGAGCTCCAAACCTCAACACATCGCAGCCTGGATATAACGATGCTATATATTGAGGCTGTTATATATTAATATAATATTTTATGTTAAAAATATATTTTTTTAAGATTGATTTAAATTTCTCTTACCTAGCAGAGGGCAGGTAACGATTAACAAGATAGGTAGTTTCCATGGCCATGTGACATCCATTTCAATGTTTCTAAATTCTGATCTCTATATCAAAAATATCGTTTACTAAAATTAATGATTTCTCTTCTTAATTGATTATCATGGTTATTGTAATTTAGACACGTGAGTGTTCTTATATTAAATTTTATTTAATTAAGTAAATGTAGCTTGTTACCATACATATCAAGTAGGATTGAACCGTTTACATTTTTAAAAAATGTGTTAAACATCCACCCTTACACATGCACAACCACACCAGTTATGTGCTGTATAATCTTACTCAGTCTATGTACATCAGGTATTGTCTTGATAGCATCAGTGCCTTCCAGCTCAGCGGCTCTTTTAACTGGGTATGTTTTTAATGTTCTCTGACCTGCATATGTTAAAACCTTATCAAAACACAAAACTGCTAAATACATTTTTTAGCAAGAAATGTACTGATAGAAATAAAAGTATATTTTAATAGTAATCTATTGTTTTAGGTATACAAATTGGCCAGAGTTAGTAATGTGAAAAGAAAGTTAACTAATTAAAATGGTAAACACACAAGTATAGTGTAATATATTGTATCAAATATAATAGAAAGCAATGTCTAAGTATAGCATTATAGGCCAGAAATAAACATTAAACATCAGTGTTTGAGAGCAAGATATTCTATATAAACAGCACCCATCTGTTTTTTTTATGTAGCTTCACTGAAATTATTATTATAATATACAAAAAAAAAACAACTTTAAAACAAGGGTTGCTAAGTTAACAAGCATTGTTGCATCTGATGAAAACATAACTAGATCTAATCTTTATTTAATACTTAAAGTTTAAATAAACGTGTTTAAAATAAACCGGGAGTGATCTCCCCTAAACTTTCTCAAATATTCTTATATAAAACAACAGGGGATGGGAACTCGGGCTATAGACATGATTTTTAATCAATTTTAAATACTTAAAGTTTTAAAAATAGAATAAAATATATAGACAAAAGAAGTGCACACCAAGTGAACGTAAAATAAAAACGTGCATAATAGTACGCAATATTATTAGTACTTTAAAAATTTACATTAATTTTTTGAGAAATCGGAAGTAGCGTAAATTACTACTTCCAGTAAACGGAAATTATTCAAAATTTAACAGAAGGTAGAACATTAGATCGTTTACTTACATGTGAAATTTCATTTATCTATCTGAAATAGTACTCAAGTTATAGGCTTTTGAAAAATTCAAAGAAGGAAAAGTACCACTTCCGGTTATCGGAAATCGCTCAAAAGTTGATACGGATCTACGATTTTGATATAATACTTATATATGAAATTTCATCAACCTAGCTGTAACGGTACTCAAGTAATCGTGTTTACACACAGACAGACAGACACACAGACACACACACACGCACACACACACACACAGACATACGGACAAGATTGCAAAATTATGTTTTTCCGTATCAGTGAGGTGTAAAACGTCGAGATTTGTAAAAATCTCGATTTTTTTTTGCACGATTACAAGACTTTCTCTATACTTCGTATATACGAGAAAGTAAAAATGTACTAGTTCTAGATCTATCTTCGGCCGATGTTACGTGCCTGAAACGATAGATTACCTTTTAAATATATTGACCAGTTGTAATTTGAAGTAAAATTATTTTTTTTCCTTGTACCCAGCCCCCCCAAAGAAATGAAACTTTAAGACCACTGCTAAGGCATATGGTGTAAACAATTGCTTTTAGATGTTATGAAGGACGACTCGTCCAAATTCAATGCGCAACGGTGTAACACATAAAAAGGAGCGCAACAAAATGTATATGTGTCGAGTGTGTGTATGTGTGTTTGGGTGTGTGTTGTGTTTGTGTCTGTGTGTGTGTTTGTGTGTTTGTTTGTGTGTGTCTTTGTGTTTGTGTGTCTGTGTGTGTCTGTATCTGTATATATATATATATATATATATATATATATATATATATATATATATATATATATATATATATACGTTTGTGTGATAAGGTGTATGTGCTTGTGTATGTTGTGTGTCTGTACATAGAAACAAGATAACTTGAGTACCGTTCTTGTTAGGTTTATGAATCTTCACTAACACTCCACATAACCAAACTTTTCACTCCAGGCAAACAAAGGCTTCAAGAAACATATGCAAACTCTTCACGTTATCAAACTTTACACATTAATAAACTATTTGCAATACCAAACTCTTCACCATCCCCTTCACTGCATTCAAAACCTATTGCCCCTCCTCTACAACAATCCGTCCAAACCCATGAACAGCGAGATCCCTCCCATATAACCCAAACCCTTGACGTAGTAGATTTGACATGTATAGCACCTAATATATATATATATATATATATATATATATATATATATATATATATATATATATATATATATATGTATATACATATATATATATATATATATATATATATATATATATATATATATATATATATATATACATATATATATATATATATATATATCTATATATATATATATATATATATATGTATATATATATATATATATATATATATATATATATATATATATATATATATATAAATACATATATATATATATATATATATATATATATATATATATTATATAGTATATATAATATATATATACATATATATTTATATATATATATATTTAGATATATATATATATGTTTATATAATATATATATATATATATATATATATATATATATATATATATATAAATACATATATATATATATATATATATATATATATATATATATATATGTATATATTATATATATCAACATATATATATATATATATATTATATAATATATATGTATATATATATATATATATATATATATACATATATATATATATATATATATATATATATATATATATATATATATATATATATATGTATATGTATATATATATATATATATATATATATATATATATATATATATATACATATATATATATATATATTTAATATTTATAATATTGTAATTTAATATGACAAATACTATATAATGGTTACTTGTTTTTACTTGCTCGTAGAAGAACTATAGAGAAAGTATTGTTATCGAGCAAAACTAAACCCAAAAAACAACATCATTTGACAAACATCTGACAAAACAGAGAAAAAATTCCTAACTATAAAATACATTTATGAAGAAAAGAAAAACAATTGATATATAAATATTTTACAATTTAATACCAATTGAAGGTTAATGTTATAACACGTTTCATATAAAATAATGTGTCTAAAAATAGTATTGATATTATTATAATACTGTATTATTTTATTATAATGCTTTGTTTTTAAAAAGCAATCTCAACAATGTTAAAATCTATTTCTTTCTTAGCCGATGTCCTTTAGCACTTGTGATTTTTTTACCTGTGTTTTCCTTTTCTCTTTAAAGATACGTGTTCACAGTTTTATTCTAATATTTCATTTAGCTAAATTACATTTTTTTAATTATAAATATTTTCGCCCGAAAACTCGAGTACCTAGATATCTTATACATGAGGCAGGACGAGAAAGATGACATTTTTTTCCATGTGATAGGATGTTTTTTTTTAATCACATTAAAAAATAGAATGGAGGGAAAAAAATAGATAAAATAGCTGAAAATAAACATGTGAATTTTACAGAAGCGGGAAAAAGAGTAGCCTATACTTTTTTTTGGTGATATTCTAAGATACCTATTAAAATCATTCAAGTGCAATACAAAGAAATTGGAAATGGGAAATTCGTTCAAATTTAGAAAAGTTTTAAAAAAAGTGATGTTTGTAAAGCTGATACAACGTTGACATAGCGATAAAAACCACATGGGCTGGTCGATGTGCTAGCGGTGCTGCAGAACGTGGTCAACCCGCAGGAGCAGCCAGCCCATGTATAGCAGCATTGATAGCAGCTATCTGTTGCTGTAGGTTTGCTATTATTTGATTATGTTGATTCCATTGATTCAGTGCTTGCCTTCTTCGCCAAATATCTGGAAAACAAAGTAAATTAAACCTGACGAGTGAAAACGAAACATTGTTCTCTTCTTTCACACAGCGGAGCATGGAAGGAAAAATTTCAATTGATCCTGAAAACACCCGACCTTAACCCTTTATCCCATTGCGAAATACTGCAAATAAGAATGCAATAGGGCTAGTAAGTCTCAGTCTCTCTCGCTAAAAATTCAAAATCATGTTATTTAGGTAAAGATACATTTTTGAACCATATACATTTTTTTCAAACATTGTTCCTATTAATAACACTTTTTAAAAAAAATGCCGGCTATTTGATTTTTAGCCTCGCTTCAATTTTTTAAGAATAAAAAAAATAAAACAACTAAATAGCGGCGTATGCTACGTCGCGATTCGGCTCATGTACAATAAAAAAACTTACTCCACAAATAGACCGTCGCTATGAAGACTGTTATACCAGCTACAGCCATAGATACTTCTTTTAAAGTAATAATTTTCAGGCTGATTGTGATGGGCACATCCTCATTCCTATAAAATAGAAATAGAGGAAAACAGTTGGAGTCGGTGAAACATTGTACACAAAAAGAAGAGAAATAATCGCGTTGAAATAAAACTATACGTACATTTTAACGCATTTCCCTGATTCATCGCATAGATTTAAAGTGAAAACTTGGGCTGTAAACAAATAAAAATATATAGATATTTATGGAAAGTAACAATGAGTGAAGGGGGAAAGCTAGGAGGTGTAGTATAGGAGATTTTGTTTTATTAAAAAGTATCCTTTTATAGCTAATAAACTGCATTGTAGACATAAATAAAACGTGTGCTTTTTTTTTTTGAAAATAAGAAACAGTAACCATATATGTCCTAATTATAAGAATTAATTTAGGATAATGTTTAAGGAATTCTAGGGTTTATACCTAAGGAGAGGGATAAGATGAGAGTAATTAGATAACGGTTGAGACATAAGGGCTTATAGAAAGTAGATGAATTTGAGCCTGGAATTGTGTCGGTATTGTTGAGTTTTAGCGTATGGATCTAGCAAACAGGTCTCTCTCCACAGTCTAGCTGGGTGTCAGGTTCAGGTGTGATGAACACGGCTTCTCGCACCTGGTGTGAGGGAAGATAAGACTATTGAGAACCCACGGAAGATAGTGACCAAACTGCGGTGATGAAACCGGCATCTTCTAAGCAAGTTCGTCGAAGTTTACGGCATGGACGTGTACATAAATAATGGAAGTTGCGCTCCTGAGCCGGAATCTCTGCGTCACAAACGTAAATAGTTCTATTGTGGTAATTCTTAGCTTGGGTTCGATCGAACCCTGAGGGTTGTTTGAGTCAATGTCGTGGGTTCAGCGGAGGTCAATTCACACAAACACCTGATTTATATAGATGTAAGCTTTAGATTCGCCCCATTTGTTTATTGGGACATTATCTAGAGTGGACCTAGGTGAGGTATTCAATATCCATGTGTATTAATTATATTTCGTCCTTGTAAAATAATAATTGATTTTTAGTAATGTCAGTATTTTGCGACCAAAAATTGACATGCGTGAAATGCTTATAAGTTACGTGTTCTGTATCTTAATATATATATATATATATATATATATATATATATATATATATATATATATATATATATATATATATATATATATATATATATATATATATATATATTAAGATACATAACACGTAACTTATAAGCCGAGTGCGATGAAACTTTAAATATTTGATGAGAATACTCGTGAGAACGTTTCTGCTATAAAAAAATTAAATTTCTTATGTGCGGCGCCCGGGAGGGTGCGATTTTTGTCAGATACACGGATTGGCGCCCAGAGTTTCAGAGTGGCTGTCTAAGCACTTGATATCCGTTAATCGGGCGTCCTGAATAGCAGATAATAAGAACTACTATATTCAGCGTTAAAACATCAACAGCCGCAGCCGCCAGCGCCCCGGCTATTGTGAGACGCGAACAATTTTTGTTGACTTTATCGAATCAGGCATGGGGCGATTTGGCGCCCCTCTCGTCTACGTTCGTTTCGAATAGCTCGATAGACTATGGATAAGATAGGGCGTTATAGTCGTTTAATAAATTGAATCAGGCGAGTTCGCCGGCGCCCCGATAGGGTGTAATTTGACGTTCTTGGGTATCTTGTGAGTGATATCACGCCTAATCCAGTTTTAAACATTGCAAAAGTCTTTGCATAAGATTTGGTTTCAGAGTCGTTCACTAATCATAATCAGGCGCGTCCGCCGGCGAGCCGGCAGGGTTCGATATGGCGCCCCTTCTTTTTTGGGCGAAGTGTAGGTAAATCCGTGCCACGACAAAAATATTATCTAAGCGCAGGCCTTGTTTACATTTAAACAGTGCAATAGACTTTGAATACGATTGGGCGTTTAGTCGTTCACTAAAGTGTATCAGGCGCATTCGCCGGCTCCCAACATAGTGCCACTTTGCGCCCGGTAGCGCTTTGGCGCATACGTTCTTTTTAAAGAGTGTGAAAGAATATAGATAAGAAGTAGTATTATAGTCTTTCATAAACTGAATCGGACTTTCATCTATCCCCGCGGCAACGCGCGATATGGGCACGCTAGTCGTTTAATGTATATATATATATATATATATATATATATATATATATATATATATATATATATATATATATATATATATATAAAATTAATAAAGTACGTAGTAAAATATACATTTTTAGATAGAAAGAAACCATTTCTTCTCGAAGGTGAAGGTCACAACAAAAAAACTGACTTAAGTTTCTCACCGTCTTTCTGCCCAACGCGGAACTTCTCGAAACTTCCGGCTAGTGTAACCCCAGTGACGTTGTAAAACGGAGGGTTCTCAAACATGGATCCAGACGCGTAGACCCTCATCTCATCGGTGTCAGAGGTCAAGGTCAGCTCAAACTGGCTATCGTCCGACTCCGTGATGGTTACAATTAACTAGAAACGGACGAAAAGTTCAGCTGATAAAAGTTTATAAAGACAGGAATAAATTGTCTTCGTTCTATCATATTTAAAACAAGTGTAATGATACAGCAAGTTATATTACTGAAACGTTTTTCTTGAGTTCTATTACAATGTTTGTGATTAAATATTTTCGACATCAATGTTGAGCCTAGCTTCGTTCTAAAATAAAAATAAGTCGAAGTATTTGCAAAGTTTTACAATGGCGTTCATAAAGAGACACTGGTGACACCTGTTTCAGTGAATTCGGCATATGTGAGTATAGTGTGGTCAGCACTATGTACTGTTGCTTACACTTTCCCTAATGAGAGTTATGTAATCATCAGAGGTGGTTGGACTCATGACCGTCTTACAGGATCGATCGAGTGATCCGAACTCCTGACTTTCGGGTTAGCAGTCGAGCGCTCTACCATTTGAGCAGTCCGTTTGTTAATCACTTGTGGACTATCCATGATTTCTGATGTTTTAATGTGTGAACATCTCATTCAAGGGAAATACATCGTTCATATCAAAGTGTCTATGCAATCTCTCTTTCTCTCTCTTTTCCAGTTCGTGCCCAAGACAAATGGGGCAGATGAAGTAGAGTTCATCTGTTTAGAGACCTCGCATTTGAAAGGATAGTGGTGGACTCAATGACATTCTATTAACATGAACCCGGATTCGAACTTGAGAATTTCAGGTTAACAGTTAAGCTCTTTACCTCTAGGTCACGCTGCCCCATCAGGGTAAATTAAACGCTACTCTACAGTTTCTCACCTGGGCGTTGTCGGTCTTTTCACCGTTGATCTCTTTTATGGGGAAGCTGAAGCACATGCTGATCACCTTGCCCGATTGGTCGAGCTGAAATGTGTACCCGAGGTCCGGCTTGATGGTGTCGTTGACGGTGCTGTCTGGGGAACAAGTAGTGAACAGCTGGGCCTTATGTTGAGCTGGGGAACATATCTGGTTATAACTAGTAGGGAACTGTTGTGCCTAATGTTGAGCTGGGGAAGAAATCTGGTTATGGTTAGTAGGGAACAGGTTGGCTAATGGGGGTCAAGGGAAGACAACTGGTGATGTACAGAGTAAAGACATGGCAGAGTGGTTTCCCTGGTGTGTTGCGAAGTGACTTTGCGGACAGGGTCGACGTTGGAAATAATCAGCACGATGTGCTTATATAGATTCCTCGTTCATTTATTGCACTTTATTTATGTCTTTAACTTGACGATAACGAACGGACGATAACTTTTTTTAAATTTATTTTTTATAAACTTACATTTAATGTTCTTATCAAAATGAACACAAACTTTGATTTACAGCCACCCAATCAGTCAACATTTAAAACTTGTAGTCAAAGCTAAATTTCTATGAACATACATGAATTCCTCTATTCCAAACCAAGGCAGGCAGTTAAAGATTTTCGTTTTATGTGAGCAACTAGCTTAAAACATAATTCTAGTATGAGATGTGTTGGTTAAGCCAATTTGTTAGGCAGCTTAACACTATTTACCACACTCAGATGTTTTGAACCATGCAAATTACTGAATTATTAATTTTTTTTTAGATTGACAAGAAATGATGCTGTAATTTAACAATACCATCATTCGTTGAGTTATATTTCTAATAAAAATCTAAGAAATTAACCTTTTCCCCAACTCTTCTAGGTCAATATAATATAAGTAAACTGTAATAACTAAGATTTATAAGTAGTTGGTAAACTTTATACCTCGGTAATGAAAAGCTTATCAGAAACTGTCAGAATTAATCCTATTGTTATCACATCATAAAAATAAACAAAAAGCAATTGAAGACAGACCAAATCACTCAGGCAGTGAGAGTAGTGTAGGCTGGCCATGTAGCAGGTACACAATGTTCCTGGACTTGGAGAGCTGGAAGGCAATGTCCTCAGCAGCTTCAATCTTCCTCAGCTCAACCAGACCTTCACCAGCCTTGCCAAAAGCTTGAGCTAGAAGCTCTGCAGCTTTAGAATCACCCTCAGCTGATATAATGGCAACTTTCTTTTGTTGTTCGGCTTTTTCTACAATGTAACGAGCCCTCTCTGCTTCCTGTTGGGTTACTTGTTTTGCTTCTACGGCTTGTGTGAATTCTCTTCCAAATGTCAGATGTGTCAAAGAGATGTCATCAAGAATAAGACCAAACTGCAATGCCCTCTATGTCAACTCTTCACTATTTCTGGTTGATACAAGCTCTCTCTGTGTTATCAAATCACTGGCATCAAACTGGGCAACAACGGCTTTTAGAACTTCTGTTGTGATGGACGGCAGGGCCCTCTCATCATAAACAATACCAAGGTTTGTGTAGATCTTGGGTAAAGCTGGGACTTGGGGGTATGAAGAGAATTCTTAGTGTGATGTTCACATTTTGTAAATCTTTGCTGCCTGTAAATGTGGGAATATTCCTTGGCCCAGAACGAATATAAAAAATAATAGGTTTCTGGACCCATGGGATGAGAAAGTTTGTCCCTTCCCCAACTACCTCATCTTGTACACCACGTAACCTGTCAAAGATAACCGCTCTCTGTCCACCATCAACATTGTAAAGGGCTGATTGAACAACTCCTCCTGTTACAGCAATAGCGAGGCCAAGTTTTCCGAGGCTTTGGAAAATACGTGACATTTTTTACCACTGATGAAACCTACGCATGGAAAATACGGAAATGCAACGGACGATAACTAAACTACACAGGATGACTTGCATGATGACTAAACGATACGCCATACACAGGATCGATGATGAACACAATTTCCTCATCTAAACCCTCCCTGTTTTATATACCTCTATCTTTAATTCCTACCATATATGCCACTTTCCCCCCAATAGTTACTATGCTACATAAGTGTTCAGTTTATGACGTTTTATACAAAATATACAATAAACAGAATATAGCTTCAGGTTAGTCGAGTTAAACAAAAGGGAAGCTACTCTACTTCTTAAATTACTGCTAACATCCCCTGTATTATAATTATCTATACAACAACTTCTTAACAAAGTGGAGAAATATATTGCTATGATCTACTTAAACAATTTACAGCTATACCTCGATTCTAGTCAAAGGATATATACGTAGAATAAAAGATTGACTCAAGCTAGACCCTGCATGAATAACCGAAGCAGAACCAGTTTATTTTAAACGTCAACTAAAGAGTTTGAAGTCTACAGTTTTTATAATACATCACGCCTTCACCGCTTACGTATTCATCTAACATATAGATCTAGTATTTACTTTACGAAAATTCACAGGTGAAGCTCATCGGTTTAGTCACATAAAATATAACATTTATTTCATTTTTAAAACGTTTAAGATTAATTATTTTAAATCATTTTTAATTACATTGTATTCTATGTCTTTATTGGTGTATTTAAACTCATGTTTTCATTTATTTTGATATTTTCCTATTAGTTTGATTTAATGGTAGAGCATTCGTGACATTGTGAGTTATATAAAATTAAGGAATCTACTATATTGGTGGTAAAGTTTGTGATAGTAATGCGAAGAATGGAGGGGTAATCAATAACAGCAAGGATTAAAAAAAAAAAAACGTAAAAATAGTTAACATTATTTTACATTTTTTTAAAAATCACAGTATCCCCGTCGACGCAAGCTAACTTACGATTAGTGATGTTACTAAAACACATCAACTCGACGCTTTTCTTCACCGGGCACGTATTTAAGTTTGTCTGGCTCATATTCAGGCTTTCTTCTTCCTCAGTGCGTACGACTTCATGGGGAAAACGGCTCAGAGTTCTCGCGTCGAGTTTCCTGTCGTCTTCACAGTGTGACACCATCGAGTTCGTCTTGTACTGGGACTCGTTACTACAGCGGCAGTTATCCTGGCTATGGGATCCAAACCACCTGACATCACAGCCTGCAAACAGTTGATTAACAAACGCATTGTCTTGTGGCTATTTTAAATTCTAACCGATCATAGAAAATTAAACAAATGATCATTTAATGTATTAACAATGTAAAAGGCCAAAATAATTTTTAATATGCATATACTTAAAAAATGTTTTTTTTAAAAAGGATTTTTAGCTTGTTATGCTAATCTCTACAAATAATATGAATTTACAACGTAAAAACCAAATTAATTTGGAATATGTTTATACTTAAATCATGATTTTTTTTAAAAAAAAAGGATTTTAGCTTTTTATGCCAAGCTCTACAAATAATATAAATTTATTCATTTAAGCTGCGTTAGTAAAAAAATATTTAAAAAAATATTCTTTTAGTCAATAGTTTATTATTATCTTACCGAGCAGAGGGTGAGTAATGTATAAAATGAAAATTAATTTCCAGGACTTCGTGATCTCCATGTCAATGTCTGGCCTAATTCTCTGGCCTAATTTAAATTGCTTTTCAGCGGCTTATATTCAATACAAAATTATGATAAAGGTTTGTAATCGGTGGTTTCCAAACGGCCTTAATGTTTTTAAATGGAATTATAATATTTAATCATTTTAAAATGGGAGCCGGAAAGACACTTGCACGAATGCCGTTTGCCGAAGGCGGATTGCCCGAATGGAAACTTGCCCGAATGGGACAAACGCCCGAATGGACTTTTGCCCGAATGGGACAAACGCCCGAATGGACACTTGCCAGAATGCGACAAAAGGCATGAATGGAAGGATGGAAGGTTGGATGGATAGGGGATATGTTTATATTCCTAAACGAAACACGTTGTACGTACCAATATTTTTATAAAACATACTAATATTTTACTTATTTATTTTCAAATTTATTTACAAAGGTGAAGGTCACAACAAGGAACTGACTCAGGTATCTCACCTTTTCCCCGCCAGTCACGGAGCCAATCACATAATCCGTTATTTGTAAACTCCTTCACGTTGAACAGCCGGGTGTTGTTTTCGATGATTTCAACGACAAACTCAGACGGGATTTCGACACTCATCACATTCCTGTCATAGTTCTCGTCTAGCTCGGTGCGGTTGGTTTTCATTTGGGTAAACTCAAACTTTAGACGGAAGGAAATTGCAGAAGTTATAGGTTTATAAAGATAGAGTAAAATATATTCAATATTATGTTTATTATACAAGCTTATTAGTGTAAAAGGGGTCTCGTATAGAAGTTGTTTTTGTAGTAATGTAACAAGGGCTATGTTCAGGTTTATTTTGAAGACAATAATGAGGTGTAAATGACAAGAATATGGCGAATATTAGGATCACACAAAGAATAAGTTGAAAGGTTGAAAGGTACCGAGATAGCGACCTTTGAAGTAATTTAAACACTGTAACGTTTGTTGGTAGTGATAAGAGCAAACCGTAAAAATAAACGGCATAATGGTAGTAGATTGTAGTAAAAAATCTATGAGAATATTGAACAAAAATACGATCGATAAATGTATAATACCATAAACCTACACATACATATTACACCTACACCTATACCCACACTTACGTCTGCACGTACACGTACACGTACACGTACACGTACACCTACACGTACACGTACACGTACACGTACACGTACACGTACACCTACACCTACACCTACACCTACACCTACACCTACACCTACACCTACACCTACACCTACACCTACACCTACACCTACACCTACACCTACACCTACACCTACACCTACACCTACACCTACACCTACACCTACACCTACACCTACACCTACACCTACACCTACACCTACACCTACACCTACACCTACACCTACACCTACACCTACAACTACACCTACACCTACACCTACACCTACACCTACATCAACACCTACACCTACATCAACACCTACACCTACACCTACACCTACACCTGCACATTACCACGACACATTACACCTGCAAATTACACATTACATATTACACCTACACATAACACCTACACTTACACTCACACCAACATCTACACATACACGGATATCGACACCTACGTCTATACATTACACCTTAACCTTTACCTTCAACTTCTTGATAATCTTGCCATAGTCGATCCTTTTACCATTGACCTCGATAACTGTGACATTAAAACAGGCTCCCAAGACGTCGAGCACAAATGTGTATCCCAGGTCTGGCTCTATTGTTGTAGTACCAGTGATGCCTGTGGAGCAAACACAGTAGAAAAGAACAGTTGGTTAAAGGGGATCACGGGAACCAACACGGTTCTGGTTAGTTGGGAACTTCAAGGCTAAAAGAGATCAGGGAACACACACAGAGCTGGTTAGTTGGGGACTTCAAGGCTAAAACGGATCAGGGAACAAACGTGGTACTTGTTAGTTGGGAACTTCAAGGCTAAAAAGGGATCAGGGAACACACACAGAGCTGGTTAGTTGGTGACTTCATATCTAATGGGGATCAGGGAATAAACGTGATGAACGCAGGGTTAACGATTTGAGGAGTGGATACGAGGGGATGATCGGGTGGTAATTGGTTAGTTAGAAATGCCATGCTCCACTTAACTCATAAACTTGACACCTAGACTTTGCCTCCATAAACTTTCTCCAATACTCTTATATAGCACTAATGGGGATGGAAACTTGGGTTAAAGACACAATTTTTAATCAATTTTTACAGACTTAAACTTTCTAAAATATTATAGAATCTCGTAGAAAAAAGAATTGCACACCTAGTGAACAGAAACGTTCGGAATACTAGTACTTTATTAAATCATACGCTGTTTTTTGACAAATCGGAAATAGCGTAAAGTACTATTTGCGAGCACAGAAAATAACTCAAAATTTGACGAAAGGAAGAAAATTAGATCTTTTACATATATTTCGTTTATTTTTCTGAAACAGTAATCAAGGTTTAGGCTTTTGAAAAACCAAAAGTAGAAACGTTCCATTTCCGGCTACCGGAAGTCGTTAAAAAGTTGATACCGAACTACACATTCGATATAATCTTGCACATATGAAATGTCATCAAATGGACTGTAATAGTACTCAAGTTACTTTGTTCACAATCGGACACATAAACACACACAAACATATACGGACAAATTTGCAAAACTAAGTTTTTCCGACTCAGAGTGGTGTAAAACGTCGAGATTTGTGAAAATATCGATTTCATCTTTTTGCACGAGTACAATACTTCCTCTATGCTTCATATTTCGAGAAAGTAAAAATAAAATTAGCCCCTTCATCTATAATGTAAACCTTCACACCTGTAAAGTTAGTCTCTATAACTATAGCCTACACGCCCATAACACATATAAAGTTAGACCCTACAACTATAATCTGCGGATATTAGTTGACTTCCAGCTACTCATGTTATTAGAACACAATGTCCCCACGTTTTGCTCGATGACTTACCACTAATAATGTCATCACATGGCAAGTTCCCCACTGTTTCGTTAGCCGGGCACGTATTGAAGATGTTGGTGAATTCCATCTCGCCCAAACTCAGCCTCTGTCCGGTGCACTTGACGTCATGAGGGAAACGGCCCAGAGCGTTCAAACCGTGTCTGCTGTTCCGCTCGTTGATGTTTGACTCGTTCTCAATGGAGCACGTCGCATAGAGGGAATCGTTACTACAGCGGTAATGATCCTGGCATTGAGCTCGAAACCTCAACACATCGCAGCCTGGATATAACGAAGCTATATATTGAGGCTGTTATATATTAATATAATATTTTATGTTAAAAATATATTTTTTTAAGATTGATTTAAATTTCTCTTACCTAGCAGAGGGCAGGTAACGATTAACAAGATAGGTAGTTTCCATGGCCAGGTGACATCCATTTCAATGTTTCTAAATTCTGATCTCTATATCAAAAATATCGTTTACTAAAATTAATGATTTCTCTTCTTAATTGATTATCATGGTTATTGTAATTTAGACACGTGAGTGTTCTTATATTAAATTTTATTTAATTAAGTAAATGTAGCTTGTTACCATACATATCAAGTAGGATTGAACCGTTTACATTTTTAAAAAATGTGTTAAACATCCACCCTTACACATGCACAACCACACCAGTTATGTGCTGTATAATCTTACTCAGTCTATGTACATCAGGTATTGTCTTGATAGCATCAGTGCCTTCCAGCTCAGCGGCTCTTTTAACTGGGTATGTTTTTAATGTTCTCTGACCTGCATATGTTAAAACCTTATCAAAACACAAAACTGCTAAATACATTTTTTAGCAAGAAATGTACTGATAGAAATAAAAGTATATTTTAATAGTAATCTATTGTTTTAGGTATACAAATTGGCCAGAGCTAGTAATGTGAAAAGAACGTTAACTAATTAAAATGGTAAACACACAAGTATAGTGTAATATATTGTATCAAATATAATAGAAAGCAATGTCTAAGTATAGCATTATAGGCCAGAAATAAACATTAAACATCAGTGTTTGAGAGCAAGATATTCTATATAAACAGCACCCATCTGTTTTGTTATATAGCTTCACTGAAATTATTTTATAATATACAAAAAAAACAACTTTAAAACAAGGGTTGCTAAGTTAACAAGCATTGTTGCATCTGATGAAAACATAACTAGATCTAATCTTTATTTAATACTTAAAGTTTAAATAAACGTGTTTAAAATAAACCGGGAGTGATCTCCCCTAAACTTTCTCAAATATTCTTATATAAAACAACAGGGGATGGGAACTCGGGCTATAGACATGATTTTTAATCAATTTTAAATACTTAAAGTTTTAAAAATAGAATAAAATATATAGACAAAAGAAGTGCACACCAAGTGAACGTAAAATAAAAACGTGCATAATAGTACGCAATATTATTAGTACTTTAAAAATTTACATTAATTTTTTGAGAAATCGGAAGTAGCGTAAATTACTACTTCCAGTAAACGGAAATTATTCAAAATTTAACAGAAGGTAGAACATTAGATCGTTTACCTACATGTGAAATTTCATTTATCTATCTGAAATAGTACTCAAGTTATAGGCTTTTGAAAAATTCAAAGAAGGAAAAGTACCACTTCCGGTTATCGAAAATCGCTCAAAAGTTGATACGGATCTACGATTTTGATATAATACTTATATATGAAATTTCATCAACCTAGCTGTAACGGTACTCAAGTAATCGTGTTTACACACAGACAGACAGACACACAGACACACACACACACACACACGCACACACACACACAGACATACGGACAAGATTGCAAAATTATGTTTTTCCGTATCAGTGAGGTGTAAAACGTCGAGATTTGTAAAAATCTCGATTTTTTTTTGCACGATTACAAGACTTTCTCTATACTTCGTATATACGAGAAAGTAAAAATGTACTAGTTCTAGATCTATCTTCGGCCGATGTTACGTGCCTGAAACGATAGATTACCTTTTAAATATATTGACCAGTTGTAATTTGAAGTAAAATTATTTATTTTCCTTGTACCCAGCCCCCCCAAAGAAATGAAACTTTAAGACCACTGCTAAGGCATATGGTGTAAACAATTGCTTTTAGATGTTATGAAGGCCGACTCGTCCAAATTCAATGCGCAACGGTGTAACACATAAAAAGGAGCGCAACAAAATGTATATGTGTCGAGTGTGTGTATGTGTGTTTGGGTGTGTGTTGTGTTTGTGTCTGTGTGTGTGTTTGTGTGTTTGTTTGTGTGTGTCTTTGTGTTTGTGTGTCTGTGTGTGTCTGTATCTGTATATATATATATATATATATATATATATATATATATATATATATATATATATATATATATATATACGTTTGTGTGATAAGGTGTATGTGCTTGTGTATGTTGTGTGTCTGTACATAGAAACAAGATAACTTGAGTACCGTTCTTGTTAGGTTTATGAATCTTTACTAACACTCCACATAACCAAACTTTTCACTCCAGGCAAACAAAGGCTTCAAGAAACATATGCAAACTCTTCACGTTATCAAACTTTACACATTAATAAACTATTTGCAATACCAAACTCTTCACCATCCCCTTCACTGCATTCAAAACCTATTGCCCCTCCTCTACAACAATCCGTCCAAACCCATGAACAGCGAGATCCATCCCATATAACCCAAACCCTTGACGTAGTAGATTTCATCCAAATACGGCCAAATCCCCTAACGTAAACCAAAAGTTTTAACAGCTGTTTTGACATGTATAGCACCTAATATATATATATATATATATATATATATATATATATATATATATATATATATATATACATATATATATATATATATATATATACATATATATATATATATATATATATATATATACATATATATATATATATATATATATATATATATATATATATATATATATATATATATATATATATATATATATATATATTTATAATATTGTAATTGAATATGACAAATACTATATAATGGTTACTTGTTTCTACTTGCTCGTAGAAGAACTATAGAGAAAGTATTGTTATCGAGCAAAACTAAACCCAAAAAACAACATCATTTGACAAACATCTGACAAAACAGAGAAAAAATTCCTAACTATAAAATACATTTATGAAGAAAAGAAAAACAATTGATATATAAATATTTTACAATTTAATACCAATTGAAGGTTAATGTTATAACACGTTTCATATAAAATAATGTGTCTAAAAATAGTATTGATATTATTATAATACTGTATTATTTTATTATAATGCTTTGTTTTTAAAAAGCAATCTCAACAATGTTAAAATCTATTTCTTTCTTAGCCGATGTCCTTTAGCACTTGTGATTTTTTTACCCGTGTTTTCCTTTTCTCTTTAAAGATACGTGTTCACAGTTTTATTCTAATATTTCATTTAGCTAAATTACATTTTTTTAATTATAAATATTTTCGCCCGAAAACTCGAGTACCTAGATATCTTATACATGAGGCAGGACGAGAAAGATGACATTTTTTTCCATGTGATAGGATGTTTTTTTTTAATCACATTAAAAAATAGAATGGAGGGAAAAAATAGATAAAATAGCTGAAAATAAACATGTGAATTTTACAGAAGCGGGAAAAAGAGTAGCCTGTACTTTTTTTTTGGTGATATTCTAAGATACCTATTAAAATCATTCAAGTGCAATACAAAGAAATTGGAAATGGGAAATTCGTTCAAATTTAGAAAAGTTTAAAAAAAAAAGTGATGTTTGTAAAGCTGATACAACGTTGACATAGCGATAAAAACCACATAGGCTGGTCGATGTGCTAGCGGTGCTGCAGAACGTGGTCAACCCGCAGGTGCAGCCTGCTGTTGGAAAGCGGCTATCTGTTGCGGTAGGTTTAATACAAATTGATTCAATTGATTCAGTCTTCGCCTTCTTTGCCAAATATCTGGGAAAAAAACAAAGTACAACAAACCAGATGAGCGAGAACTTAACATTGTTCTCTTATTCCACACAGCGGAGCATGGAAGTTAAAAAGAAAAAATTAATTACATGATTAAAAATATCTGACCTTAACCCCTTATGCCCAGCTCCCATTGCTAAATACTGCAAATAAGAAATACAATAGGGCTAGTAAGTCTCTGTCTTTCTCGCTGAAAATTCAAAAACTCGTTTTCCAGGGAGAGATACATATTTGAACTAAATAATTTTTTAACATTGTTTTTATTTATAACACATAAAAAAACATGGCGGCTGTTTGTTTCTTGGCCTTATTTCAATCTTTTAAAACACTAGGAGTACTCAAATATAACAATTATATTTTTTTTACTAAAAAAAGAATCAAATTGAGTACATATTCTATTAATATATTGTAACTACGTCACTATAACATGTTTCTTATCCCAATAGATAAGAACAAACTATACGCGTAGTATATATACGCTTATATATATATATATATATATATATATATATATATATATATATATATATATACATATATATATATATATATATATATATATATATATATATATATATATATAGGCTTATAATACGCTCTAAAGGCATGCTCAACAGACCATATCAATACCACCACCCCACACACACCAACGCAAATCTGGTGAGCCGTGGTTCAAGCCGAAATGTTTACAATCGTAGAGCCGGGTCGAAATAGTGACAGCTGTTAGGGGCAGATAATTTAGTTTCTAAACGATTTGAAAGTAAAGGGAGGTAATAAAAAGCGCTGCTTGAACTTTACATTGTCGTCTGTAAACTGTCGTCATGGACGGCTGCTTTCACCGGGGCGGGGGTGGGGGAGGGATTTGGGATAATCGTCCTTCACGAGCTACTGATTGTGTTTTAAAACAAAATATTTTCAGTCGCTGCATTGGTAGTGTCGAATTCACAAATTATGAGTTACTGATAAGAAGAAAATAAAACAATTAAATAGCGGCGTATGCTACGTCGCTGGTCAGCTCATGTACAATAAAATAACTTACTCAAAACATAGACCGTTGCTATGAAGATTGTTACACCGATTACAGCAATAGATGTTTCTTTTAAATCAGAAAGTATCAGCATCATTCTGATGCTCACATTCTCATTCCTATTCAATAGTAATAAAGGAAAACATTTAGTAAAAGTCATTGAAACATTGTTTACAAAAAAAAGAAGAGAAATAATCGAGTTAAAATAAAACTATACGTACCAATCAACGCATTTTCCTGATCTATCACATTTTTTAAAAGTGAAATCTTGGGCTGTAAAAGAAGTAAAAATGTCTAGATATTTATGGAAAAGGAAGTGGAAAGCTAGGAGTAGTGGTACAAGAGATTTTTTTTATTAACACGTTTTTCTTAACAGCTTCGCGTTTGTTTGTTTGATTGTTGTTAAAATTGACATCGAAAATTAGCCCACTTCTGATTGCTCTAGAGATATGAAATTTGGCATGCAGGCTATTTTCGCCTAACAATTTCAGATGCAATCATAAAAACTAGCAATTAGAGACCTAAATTAGCTTAATGAAATTACGCCCCAAGGACCATAAAATTGAGGACATGATTTCTAAAGCAAAAATTATCAATCCAGATATATCAAAATATCAAAATTAAGAGGTTTTATCAGTGGCGGAGTGGTCTAGCGGTAGAGAGTTGGACTGCTAACCCGTTAGTCTCGAGTTCGAATCCGGGTTGGACTGCTAACCCGTTAGTCTCGGGTTCGAATCCGGGTTTAAGTCAGTAGACCGTCCCTGAGTCCACCCAACTCTGATGGGTACCTAAAAAACTCTGATGGGTACCTAAAAAATCCTCTAAATTTGTATGTATTTAAAAACACTTAGTCAAGTCATTAGATAAAGTAGAAAATAAACTATATAAAAACTTTTTAAAAACCACGTTTTTCATGTGTAGCAACGGACTAAAAAGGAGAAAATAAAATACTTAAAAAAAACTTTAAAAAAAACACGTTTTTCTTGTGGACTAAAAATTAGAAAATAAATTTTGTGCTTCCTCGAGCTGTGCAGGTTCTTGTGATGACTCTTCATACATTTGATGACAAAAAACGTGGGTCGGGCAGATGGGTCGGGAAATTTGAAATTTGTAAATCACAAGATTTCTTTTCATGTAGCAATTAAGCATTATTGTACTAGTCTAGTAGTGTCTACGTTTACAACACGTATTAACAGCTGCATCAGTTTGACATTCTAAAAATAACCATTACGATGCATTGCAATGTTTAAAAAACCTCTACGGTAGTACCTCGGTAGTACCACTTGGCAAGAGGGGTGTTAAGTTTAAGGCAACTTGATAATGTATTTGCTTAAGAATAATCGAATTAGAAAATGTTATACATAAAACTTCACACATAATTACTTTTATATACAGTTTGAATCGTGTGATTAATTAAAAAATAATTACCATACAGACACAAATACAACTATTAATGGCACCTCTATTTAAATTTACTTATGAGCAAACTGCGTATTGGTGGGAAAATTTTGACAAGAACGTCATCACGATGAAGTAGTAATATTCTTACAGTTTGGGCGATAGTGATTACGATTACAAATTATATGAAACAGTTACAACCCCCTCCCCATGGACCCCTCTGTAAAAAATATAGTCATAATACCACTGCTACTTATTTAAATCCATTTCCGTAATATATATTTGTGTAATATATATTTGTGTAATATATATGTATGTTTAGAACAGTCATCTAAAAACTGACGCTATGTTCACTCTGAGTTGGTTCTCTCCCCCCCCCCTACACATACCTCACCACCTGATCTGTTAAGTACATGTAGAAAAACGCGTAATGATGTACCAAAGTACCATGCCGCCAGAAAATTAGCTTTTTAAACCTAAAACTGTGAATATTGTTTTTGCAATTACCAGTAAAAAGGTGTGTGATCAATACAGTAATCTAACCCATACCTATCACTATGTTAAAAATTGATCTTTACAGAACACAAAGAAGCAGTATTTAATTAAAATATATGATCTGAACTAAAAGACCGATATTTAGTTAAATATAGGCTGTTATTCCAATGCTACTCGATTAAATCGCAAAGCGTGCTTTTATATCAACTCTGATTTTAAAAACTTTCATTATGTTGTAATACTTTAGCATTTATGATGACTTTAAATTAAATTCTGATTATTGACAAAAACATTTTGTAAACACGAATGGCATTAAACAATTTCATTATATTCTAAAGTAATTATTTATTTGTTTTGACTTTTATTATTAAACTAGGCATGCTGCCCAGCTTCGCTTAGGCTTTCGAAAACATTGAGAATTTGAATGCTTAATTAATTCGCCTGAGGGTCGGTCTACGACCTCAAGAGTTATGAAGAGGTTCCTCCGTGGACATTTTTTTTCGATTTATAGCTCATATAAGGCACCGGTCAGTCGAGGTCAGTTTTGACCCCCTCATCGTAGACTTTTCGGCCAACCGGCCCCCGTGTTCTGTCGCCCCAAGGCAAGATCCTGTCAAATTTGAAGCGCCTGCGGCGCCGGGAAGTGCCCTATCGGGTTTAGCCCGAGCATAATAAAAAAAATACATTAACCAAGTTGACTTGGTGTGTCTCGAACCCGCACCACCTGCGTGGTTTATAGTACACTAACATCTCCGCTACTTATAAAATTCGGAGAATGAAACACGTATTTTAAAATCTTAACTTACGCGAATATGCCTATTCTTTCAAATTATTTTTTTTTATCCCAAATTAGCCAGTTCCAAACAAAGATTTTGTATGAAATAAATAAGTCTTGAAATAGTTTAGTCCTAATATAGAAATTTATTTTTGGAATAGATTTTAGAGTCTAAATCTAGATCTTAGCGTCTACGTCTATTTATTGCGTAGATTTAGATTTAGTCTAGATCTAGAATCTCTAGATCTAGAATCCAAATAAATAAAATAAATTTTATGAGTTTAGGCCGGAAAAATTGTATTTTATACATTTCATAGTGTACGTAGATCTAAATCTAATTTGAATAAAATAGTTCATTTCTTTTTATTGTAAACACGGCAGATGACGTTTTTTTTTTTTTTTTTTTTTTTAAATACTTTTATTTGCAATTAAAACAAGTACATCAACATCACATTTTTTACATAGTTTCAAATGAAAACGAAAGGTTTTGAACATGTACATAATGAATATTTGCGTGATGTCATGTATATGATTATAACAAAAATTACAAAAGATGGCAGTAAAAGGGGTAGATGACGTCATTAGTTAATGTATAAACATTAGTGACGTCACAGTTTTATGCGTTCTTTTTCACACGTATTAATGCTTTTCCGGTTGCATAAATAATACTGTTTCTCTACATTCGAATACGCCTTTATTTTTTATTTTTCTTCTTTAAATAAAATTGTGGTTATACATTTAAAACATCTAACATATTATTTTCAACAAAAGTCCGTATAAAATTCTCGATATATCGCTGCCGTTTCTGACGTGATGTCCGGCGAAAATATTTCGCGGACAGAGAGAAGTGCGCACATGGGGAATTATATATTAGGATCTGTAGATATATACATATTTATATTAAGAGAGTGATTATTTCCCCTATTTCACTTGTCTTAAATAATTTCCCAGGAATTATTATGTAAGAAATTTTTTTTACAAGAATTACAAAACAGATTGTGTTACGTTCATTGTTTTTGGTTGTAGTGTGTGTATATTTATATATATATATATATTTTAGATTGATACAATTTTTGTTTTGTCCGCCTACATTGTGTGTTTTTTCTTATTTCTTCAGAGTGCTACTTTCAATTTATTTTACATCATAGCGAAGTAATGACATACAGCTAATAATTATATATATATATATATATATATATATATATATATATATATATATATATATATATATATATATAATACACGTATATAGATCGTGTTAAAAATTTGGCGCCTTTTTTGCTCTTTTCGCTCTCCCTACAACGAAAACCTGGATACGCCTCTGCACAGGTGGGTTTTATTTTGTTTTGAAAATTAGAAACAGTAGCCATATTATGTCCCACGTATGAGAATTAATTTTTGATTACGTTTAGGGAATACTGTGGATTATACTTAAGGAGAGGGGCAAGATATTAAATGAGAAAGATATAGGTCTAGGGTAGTGGTTCTTAACATAGGGTCGATTTCTTACTCTGGGTTTGATCGAACCCCAGGGTTTCGGTGAGTCATTGTCGTGGGTTTGGCGGAGGTCAATTCACACACACCTGACTTATAAATATGATTCACGATAGGGTTTTGTCAGAGCGGAGCTTAAAACTAATAAGTAGGGTTTGTTGAATGCGGATAAAAAAACGTGTGGGGTTCGTTACCTCCAAAAAAGGATAAGAACCTCTTGGCTAGTTTATAGCTGTTAGCTTTAGATTCGGCTCATTTGTTTACTGTACGAGTTGGGACATTGTATAGAGTGGGCCTAGATGAGGTATTTAATATCCATGTGTATTTACTATATTTAGTCCTAGTTAAACAAATCATTGATTTTAGTAGAGTCAGGCTTTTGCGACCAAAACATTGAAGTGCGTGAAAAAGCTTTTAAATTACGTGTTGTGTGTCTTAATCACACACATATATGTATATATATATATATATATATATATATATATATATATATATATATATATATTTATATTTATATTTATATATATATATATACGAGCTGCATCCCGTGCTCCGCTACGGTAAATCTTTTTAAAACACAACCACAACCACAACACAACCACAACCACAACACAACAACACAACCACAACGCAACCAAAACACAACCACAACACAAACAAAACACAACCACAACACAACCACAACACAACCACAACACAACACAACAGCAACACAACCACAACGCAACCACAACACAACCAAAACACAACATAATCACAACACAACCACAACCACAACACAAACACAACACAACCACAACCACAACACAACCACAACACAACCACAACACAACACAACAGCAACACAACCACAACGCAACCACAACACAACCACAACACAACATAATCACAACACAACCACAACCACAACACAAACACAACACAACCACAAACACAACACAACCACAACCACAACACAACCACAACACAACCACAACACAACACAACAGCAACACAACCACAACGCAACCACAACACAACCACAACACAACATAATCACAACACAACCACAACACAACCACAACCACAATCACAACACAACCACAACACAACCACACCACAACCACATCACAACCACAACACAACCACATCACAACCACAACACAACCACAACACAACCACAACACAACCACAACACAACCACAACACAACCACAACACAACCACAACACAACCACAACACAACCACAACACAACCACAACACAACACAACACAACCACAACACAACACAACCACAGCCACAACATTAGAATCACCACCAAACAACACGCTTTTTTAGGCGTCCGCGCTCAAAGAGAGCCTTTATTTTAGTCACATAAATAGATCCTACTCCATAACTTACAATAAAACAATGCGATGCAAATAAATGTACGGCAAGTGGTGTTTACTTTTATGGTTCTAAGAAAACACTTTGGTAATGTAATTAGAATCACCACCGAAAAACACGCTTTTCTCAGGCGTCCGCGCCCAGAGAGAGCCTTTACAGCATTCTCTATACTATAATTCTAAAATTTCACCATCTGTTAACACCGAAAAACAAAAACAAAAAATAGTGATTTTGAGAGATCATAGACTAATTAGAAAATAATATAAATAATCTTAACATTTATCTATTTAACTTATGAACTTTAACATATAATAATCAATGTGGTAGTAATAAAAAAAAATTAACTTCAATTATTGAGAGTGAGTTGACTATTAAAAACACGTTTTCCCCGGCGTCTAATTTCACCATCTGTTTTCATAACACCGAAAAATAAAAGCAAACAGATAGTGGTTTTTGAGAAATCATAGACTAATTCGAAAATAATCAAAAATAAATAATATAAATAAACTTAACATTTATCTCTTTTAACTATGAACCTTAACATATAGATATATTATTGAATGCATAGTAATAATAAAAAAAAATTAAGATAAATTATTGATGAGTTAAATATGTTTTCAAATTACCACCCTTGCAAAAATTACAAAAAAATAAACCGGGAGTAATCTCCCCTAAACTTTCTCGAATATTCTTTTATAAAACAACAGGGGATGGGAACTCGGGCTATAGACATGATTTTTAATAAATTTTAAATACTTAAAGTTTTAAAAATAGAATAAAATCTCGTAGACAAAATAAGAGCACACCAAGTGAACGCCAAATAAAAAGTGCATAATAGTGCGCAATATTATTAGTACTTTAAAAATTTACATTAGTTTTTTGAGAAATCGGAAGTAGCGTAAATTACTACATCCGGTCAATGGAAATTACTCAAAATTTAACAGAAGGTAGAGAATTAGATCTTTGACGTACGTGTGAAATTTCATTTATCTATCTGAAATAGTACAAGTTATAGGCTTTTGAAAAATTCAAAGTAGAAAAAGTACCACTTCCGGTTATCGGAAATCACTCAAAAGTTGATACGGATCTACGATTTTGATAAAATACTTATATATGAAATTTCATCAACCTAGCTGTAACGGTACTCAAGTTATCGTGTTTACACACGGACACACATACACACACAGACAGACACACAGACATACGGACAGAATTGCAAAGCCCAGTTTTTCAGACTGGATTACGCATAAAACCTCTTAGTTTTGATAAATCTGGATTGATAATTTTTGCCCGATTAAAATAAGTCCTCTAAACTTCGGATGTGATGAAGGACGGAGGTGTAATACGGTGAAAATTGTTAAAATTTCAAGTGATTTTTGTGCACGGTTACAATACTTTCTCTATACTTCGTATATACGAGAAAGTAAAAAGTTGAATTAATTAGTTTTTTCGACCTACTTTTAAGAATAAAAACGAAAATGATATTTGACATTGATCTTTTTAACATGTTTTAGCAATGTGCGTGTATTTAATATTTAATATATATATATATATATATATATATATATATATATATATATATATATATATATATATAAGATTAATAAGGTACATAGTATGATATACATTTTGAAATAGAAAAAAAAATTCTTCACAGAGGTGAAGGTCAGAACAACAAACTGACATTAGTTTCTCACCGTTTTTCCGCACGACGCGGAACTTCTTGGAACTTCCGGCTAGTGTAACCCCAGTGACGATGTAATACATATGGTTTATGTCGCCAATAGTAATAATATATCCAAACTGGTTGCAGGCCTTTATCTCATCGAAGTCAGAGGTCAAGGCCAGGTCCAGCTCTCTATCGTTGGTCGTGGTAACGGTTAGAATTAACTAAGGACGGACAAAAAGGTACAGCTGACAAAGGTTTAAACAGACACTCGTAAATTATCTTTGTTCTATTGTATTTAAAAAAAAACAAACAAGCGTGCAACAGATTATATTACTTTTCTTTTTTCTTTCAGTCCCATTACAACTTCTGTGATTAAACATAATTTGACATCAATAATATAATTAAACATTAAGCCTAGATTATTTTTGAAGTGAAAATAAAGTCTAAGTAATTTCAATGGGGTACGTTTGCTATCATAACATTTCAAAATACACTGACGGCAGGAAAGAAGAGTTCACGTGTTTCAGTGAGGATAGTGTAATCACAAGTCTGCCGAACTGCATTTACTTTCCCTACCGTGAATTACGAACTCATTAGAGGTGGTTGGGTTCATGGCAGTCTTACAGGAAGAATCCTGGGATCCGAACTCCTGACTTTCAGGTTAGCAGTCAAACGCTCTACCATTCGAGCAGTCCGTTTGTAAATCACTTGTGAACTATCTGCGATTTCTGATGTTCTAATGTGTGGACATCTCGATTAAGAGAAATGCATCGTTTATATCATAGTGTCTACGCAATCTCTCTCTCTCTCTGTCTCTCTCTCTTTTCCTGTTTGTCCCCAAGACACATGGGGCAGATAAAGTAGAGTTCATCTGTTTCAGAGACCTCTGCCTTTGAAAGGATAGTGTAATCAGCACTATGCCCAGTCGCCTCTTTTTCCATTACGTGAGTTAGGTACGCATCAGAGCTGGGTGAACTCAGGCACATTCTACTAACTTGAACCCGGATTCGAACTATACCTTCGGGTTGAAAGTCTAGCTCTCTACCGGTAGGTCAAGCCAAATTAAACACCACTCAACTGATTCCTACCTTGGCTTTGTCGGTCTTTTCTCCATTGACCACTCTTTTAAGGAAGCTAAAGCAGATGCTCATCACCTTAACCAAGTTGTCGACCTCAAATGTGTAGGTAAGGTCCGGCTTGGTGGTGCCATTGCTGGTGCTGCCTGTGGAACAAAGAAGGTGCTGGCAAGTATGGAACAGTTGGACTAATGAGGAACAAACATGGTGCTTTTAAGTAGGGAACAGTTGGACTAATGAGGAACAAACATGGTACTTTTTAGTTGAGAACAGTTGGACTAATGGGGAACAAACATGGTACTTTTTAGTTGGGAACAGTTGGACTACTGAGGAACTAACATGGTACTTTTTAGTTGGGAACAGTTGGACTAATGAGGAACAAACATGGTACTTTTTAGTTGAGAACAGTTGGACTAATGGGGAACAAACATGGTACTTTTTAGTTGGGAACAGTTGGACTAATGAGGAACTAACATGGTGCTTTTTAGTTGGGAACAGTTGGACTAATGGGGAACAAACATGGTGCTTTTTAGTTGGGAACAGTTGGACTAATGGGGAACAAACATGGTACTTTTTAGTTGGGAACATGCAGGGAACAGCTGGGCCTAATGTTAAACTGAGGAACATATCTGGTTATATCTTGTAGGGAACTGTTGGGCCTAATGTTGAGCTGGGGAACATATCTGGTTATATCTAGTAGGGAACAGGTTGGCTAATGGAGGTCAAGGGAAGACAACTGGTGATGTACAGAGTAAAGATATGGCGGAGGGGTTTCCCTGGTGTGTTACGGAGTGACTTTGCGGCAGAGACGTAGCGAGGGGGGGGGGGGGGGTTTAGGGTGGGTGCAAATCGAAAGTTTGAAGGGGGGGGGGTACAAATCGAAATCTTGAGCGGGGTACAAATCGAAAGTTTGTCCCCGGGCGCCGGGAAGGGTCGCTACGCCGCTGCTTTGCGGACAGGGTCGACGTTGGAAATAATCAGCACGAAGTCTTTATATAGATTCCTTTTTCATTTATTGCTCTTATTTATTACTTAAACTTGACGATGACGAACGGACGATAACTAAACTACACAGGATGACTTGCATGATGACTAAACGATACAACAAAAACAGGATCGATGATGAACACAATTTCCTCTTCTAAACCCTCCGTGTTTTATATACCTCTATCTTTAATTCCTACCATACAGTGGCGTAGGCAGAGGGGGGGGGGGTTTGGGGGGGGGGGTCAGAACAAACTACAAGGCAGCAGTTGTTTAATTTTGGAGTTGTCTCTCCTAGAAGAGCGGCTGTCCCCAGCTATCGAGCCTCATCTGCCCGAGGGTTCGAACTCGAGACTTTTCGGTTTAGCAACCATGAGCTTTACCGACTGGACCACGCCGACACCTAACTTATCTTTCATTGTGTATAATTGATAGGTAGGCCTAGCTAGCGAGGAGAACAGAAGGTGTTAGGAAGCGGTTAGAGACGGTCGAGATGTGTAGGGCTACAGTTGATAATTAATGAAGAGAGCGGTCAGATAGGTAGATCTAGGAAACGGCAGACAGTAGTAGTAGTAGAGAGTATAGAATAGTCTAGTTAAGTAGAACTTGATTTTATAATTTCATTGAAGAACTTTTGATTTTGAACTTGGAACCTGTGTTGGATATTTCTGTCATTCATTCATTCATCATAAAACACCCGTACTCTCACAACTGGTGTGCTTGAAGTAAATCTAAAACACCCCTACGCTCACAGTGTGCCTGTGTTATGTTAAATGTGTCTGATTTTTAGCTAATTAGTTATTATTTTTGCTTTGTCACTAATATCGTTCAGCGTGTAGTAAGGCACATTGCGTTTTGAGCAATAACTAGTTTCATAAATTATTTTTTTCAAGCAAGTACATTTTAAACTATATAGGCCTATAATTCACGTGAAACGGGTACCGATGGCTAGTCTACTATATTGGCGGTAAAGTTTGCGATCGTAATGCGAATAATGGAGGGGTAATCACTAACAGCAAGGATTTAAAAAACAACGTAAAAATCGTTAACATTATTTTTACAATTTTGAAAATCACATGCTCCCTATTGATGCCAGCTAACTTACGATTAGTGATGTTACTAAAATACATCAACTCGACGCTTTCCTTCACCGGGCACGTAATTAAGTTTCTCGTGAAGTTTGTCTGACTCATATTCATGCTCTCTTCGTTCTCAGTGCGTACGACTTCATGGGGAAAACGGCTCAGACATCTCGCGTCGAGTTTCCTGTCGTCTTCACAGTGTGACACTACCGAGTCCCTCTTGTACCAGGACTCGTTACTACAGCGGCAGTTATCCTGGCGATCAGATCTAAACCATCTGACATCACAGCCTGCAAACAGTTGATTAACAAACAGTTTTTGTCTTGTGGTTATTTAGACTTGTAACCGATCATATAAAATAAAACAATAATCATTTAATGTATTTACAATGTAAAAAGTATGTTTATACTTAAATAATGATTTTTTTTAATTAAAAAAAGAGTTTTAGCTTGTTATGCTAAGCTCTACAAATAATGTGAATTTAAAATGCAAAAAGCCAAATTAATTTTAAGTATGTTTATAGTTAAATAATGATTTTTTAAGGAGTTTTAGCTTGTTATACTAAGCTCTACAAATAATATGAATTTATTCATTTAAGCTGCGTTGATAAAAAAAATATGTTTAAAAATAATTCTGTTAGACAATAGTTTATTATTATCTTACCTAGCAGAGGGCGACTAATACATAGAATGAAAATTAATTTCCAGGACATTTTAATTCAGGAAATGAAGAAATAAAAGTAGATTTTGCTCCCGGCAGATGTGTGTGCTTTTCCAATTTCAATGCTCAATGGTGTGTAAAAAAATTTATTAAAATAAACAGTGCGCAATATAGTTTTACATTGTATGGAATACATTTTGTTAATACGCAGTTCAATTCCACGAATAGAATGTACCGTTACACAAGTCAAGAGAAGAGCAACTCAATGACATAGAAATAAAGATGGCAGGCTCCTCCACTGCTCTATTCAACCACTCCAACACTCTATCACACCTCCATTCCAACACACCTATACTCCACCGCTCATCCACTCCTCCACTCCACCACTCATCAACTCCTCCACCCCCCCTCTTTTCATCCACTCCTCCACTCCAACACTCCACTATTCCACCACTCCTACACTCCTCCGCTCCTCCACTCCTTCATTCTAACACTCTTCCACTCCTCCACTCCTCCACTACTCCAAGCCTCCACTCCTCCACTCCTCCACTCCTCCACACCTCCACTCCTCTACTCCTCCACTTCACCACTCCTCACTCCTCACTCCTGCACTCTACCTCTCCAACACTCCACCACTCCTCTACTCCTCCACTTCACCACTCCTCACTCCTGCACTCTACTTCTCCAACACTCCACCACTCCTCTACTCCTCCACTTCACCACTCCTCACTCCTGCACTCTACCTCTCCAACACTCCACCACTCCTCTACTCCTCCACTTCACCACTCCTCACTCCTCACTCCTGCACTCTACCTCTCCAACACTCCACCACTCCTCCACTCCTGCACTCCACCACATAACCAAACTCGCGCCATCATTAAATTCACATCACCCCACCACTACAGCTAACACACTCCTCCACATGTCCAATCTGGTCCCTACACGACACACTAGCATTCTCCACATCATACTAACTCCGGCTTCCCCCTCTCCTGAACTTTTCCAAGCCCATGAACACCTTGTGCCTCACTCTGCTAATCTAATCCATTGGCTCAATCAAATTACCTAATTTAGTAACCCAATTTTGCTAATGAAGTCCATAGTGTTAACCTCTTGACCAAATCCATAGACTAATCCCATGACCTTATCCATTGACCCGATCCCCTGATTAAAGCAATTGACCCAACCTCAAAACATATTTCAATTAAACTGCTGAATTCTAACATTTCCCACACAAACACATATTTAAATTAGTTCCGGCGACATTGTATATAAAAACATACCAATGAAAAAACAAAAACAAAATGTCGTCTGTTATAGGTGAATAAAGAGCACACCTCGGGGGGGGGGGGGGGAGGGATTCGGTTTCTACTAGGTGTAGTAATGTGCACCTGTCGGTGTATGAATGTTTACACAACATGCATGCGATTGTCTTTTCACTATGAACGCATTGTACAATATTCCAAGACAGCAACAGAGTTTTAGAATATGTTTACGTATCTATAGAGGTAAATGTAGAAAGTTCATATGTTCATCTTAGAAGACACAAAGTCCCTTCGACGAAACGAACACGATAAAAAAGACGACACAATACATTCCTGACAGCTACCAAGTAAAAAAAAAAGCATGTCGGTTAAAAATTGGCCTCCCAAAGATTTTACAATCGACTAATTTCGGACATCTTACTGTGGTGGAAAAACAACAGATTGACAAATTAGGCTAACTGCCGTGGTCACAATATGTTTGGTCAAAATGCCTATAGTCAAAACATATGAGGTCAATACATATTTGGCTCACATTTGTGGTCAATACATCTTTGGCTCACATTTGTGGTCAATACATCTTTGGCTCACATATGTGGTCAATACATCTTTGGCTCACATATGTGGTCAATACATCTTTGTTTCACATATGTGGTCAATACATCTTTGGCTCACATAGGTGGTCAATACATCTTTGTTTCACATATGTGGTCAATACATCTTTGGCTCACATAGGTGGTCAATACATCTTTGGCTCACATAGGTGGTCAATACATCTTTGTTTCACATATGTGGTCAATACATCTTTGGCTCACATAGGTGGTCAATACATCTTTGGCTCACATATGTGGTCAATACATCTTTGGCTCACATAGGTGGTCAATACATCTTTGTTTCACATATGTGGTCAATACAACTTTGGCTCACATAGGTGGTCAATACATCTTTGGCTCACATAGGTGGTCAATACATCTTTGGCTCACTTATGTGGTCTATACATCTTTGGTTCATATATGTGGTCAATACATCTTTGGCTCACACATGTGGTCAATACATCTTTGGTTCACATATGTGGTAAATACATCTTTGGCTCACATTTGTGGTCAATACATCTTTGGCTCACATAGGTGGTCAATACATCTTTGGCTCACATTTCTCTTCTGCGTTCTTACATGAGTTTATGTTGGAGGATTTAAAGAACAAGTCCAAATTCGTGGATGGACTAAACTGTGATAACTAGATCTGCGGGCGCCCCATACATTTTTTTCCCTGAGTGGGCTGTATAGGTGCCAGTGCATAGATTCGCGTGGGTGTAGAGGCAGACCTTAAGGACGTGCTCTGCATTCTACGGGGCCCTGACATAAGCGCAATTTTCGGAAGATCCACCTTTTTTTTCTCAATTCGAGTAGTACAACATTTAGTACTATTGGGGCACATTTGTCTACACCACTCCAAATTTATAGCAATAAATTATTAAAGATTAAACTAGTTAAATTAAATGTTGCAAAAATGTATTTAATTGAATGAGTTGTCAATACAAAATTCTGAAAACAACGGACGGAGTTGATTGTACAAAACGGAAAAGTTTTCAAGAATTGTTGCAAATGAAAATAAATAAGTTATAAATAAGTTATAGTCATGTTCAGAAAAAGCTAGTGGATAAAGTAGCTAAAAATAAACACGTTACTTTTAAATTAATTATGTCCAGAATTTTACAGAAGAGGAAAGGTAATATGATGCTATGTAGTGGGAGGGTCATGATACTAAAGTAACTATTTCAAGAACTAGGTGTAATAAGGTAATGATGGGAAGGGTTGGGGAGTGTATTCAAAATTAGAAAAGATTTTTTTTTAAATGTTGGAGGCTAGAAAAATGTATACAAGAATGAAGCTACGACTTAATACAAGACGGACTGGTCAATGTGGTGTCTGTGTTGTCTCTCTAGGTTACCCTGCAGGTGCAGGGGGTGGATGGCGGACAACCAACTGTATCCGCCGGTTAGCTAGACGTGGATTCCATCTTCGCCTTGGCACTGAAACAGAAACGTAATTCACTCTATCAGTAAAAACTCCAAACTTACACCAACCATCACCACCAAATCCGAAGTTAAATACAAATGCAATTTTAAAAAAAACAGTCAAATAATTACCCCTAATAACATACCGGATAAACTACTTTTCTTTCTTAATATACTGCTGTGAGATGTGTAATAAAATAACTTACTCAACAAATAGATCGTCAATATAAAGTATGCCACAACTATTACTGCAAGCAGTATTTTAAATAGTGATATTGGTTTCATATCGATTCTGATCGTCAGGTTTCCATTCCTAAATGTGGTAATAAATGAAAGTTTTTTTTAGTACAGGTTGGTTGAAGAGGTTACAAACAAAAAAGCAGACAATGTAGCGCGTTGAATAATAAATCGGGAGTGATCTCCCCTAAACTTTCCTAAATTTTCTTATATAAAAAGACAGGGGATGGGAACTCGGGATATAGACATTATTTTTAATCCATTTTAAATACTTAAACTTTTAAAATAGAATAAAATCTCGTGGAAAAAGAATTGCATACCAAGTGAATGCCAAACAAATTTTGTGCATAATAGTGCGGAATATTATTAGTACTTTATAAATTTACATTAGTTTTTTGAGAAATCGGAAGTAGCGTAAATTACTACTTCCGGTAAACGGAAATTACTCAAAATTTGACAGAAGGTAGAGAATTAGATCTTTTGCTTACATGTTAAATTACATATATCTATCTGAAATAGTACTCAAGTTATAGGCTTTTGAAACATTCAAAGTAGAAAAAGTACCACATTCGGTTATCGAAAATCGTTCAAAAGTTGATACGGATCTACGATTTTCATAATATACTTATATATGAAATTTCATCAACCAAGCTGTAACGGCACTCAAGTTTTCGTATTTACAAACACACAGACACAAACACACACACACAGACATACGGCAAAGATTGCAAATTATGTTTTTTTCGACTCAGGGAGGTGTAAAACGTCGAGATTTGTGAAAATCTCGATTTTTTATTGCACGATTAAAAGACTTTGTATATATGCACAATGAGAAAGCATTTAATAGAAGACAATAAAAGTTTTAATACACAAAACTATACGTACAGAATAATGCAGGTTCCTGATCTGTCAGACGTTTTTAAAGTAAGTAGGCCTATTTGTGCTGTAAAAAGATAAATGTTTATAGCCTGTTCAGGTAAAGTAAAACATAGTGGGGGGGGGGGGGGGAAGCTAAGCTTAAGTGCTAAGGAGTAGAATTTTTTAACAAAATATTAGCCGGTTATTGCAACATAACTGCCACTTAGGTGATGTCGCACCTATAGGGATTAGATTAGGATTAGAAAACGCTGGGGATTAAATATAATGAGAGGGGCAGATAGATAATGAGAGTGATTTGTGCACGCTTAAAGCGTGAGGTCTAATATATATTATGTAGTGTGCTTAGAGACCTAATTTATTTCCGTATGGTTGGGCTTTAGCGAATACGTTATTTTTAATATAAATAGACAAGGAGCCGCCCATTAATCATATAAAATAAACCGGGAGTGATCTCCCCAAAACTTTTTCGAATATTCTTATATAACTTGGAATATAGACATGATTTTTAATTACTTAAACTTTTAAAAATAGAATAGAATCTCATAGGAAAAAGATGCGCACCAAGCGAACGCAAAAAAAATTGCATAATATTGCGCAATATTATTAGTACTTTATAAATTTACATGCGTTTTTTTTTTTGAGAAATAGGAAATAGCGTAAATTAGTACTTCCGATCAACGGAAATTACTCAAAATTTGACAGAAGGTAGAAAATTAGATCTTTTACTTACATGTGAAATTTCATTTATTTATCCTAAATAGTACTCAAGTTATAGGCTTTTAAAAAATTCAAAGTAGAAAAAGTACCATTTCCGGTTATCGAAAATCGCTCAAAAGTTGATACGGATCTACGATTTTTATAAAATACTTATGTATGAAATTTCATCAACCTAGCTGTAATGGTACTCAAGTTATCGTGTTTACACACACACAGACTTACACACACACAGACATACCGCCAAGATTGCAAAACTATGTTTTCCAACTCAGGGAGGTGTAAAACGTCGAGATTTGTGAAAATATCGATTTTTTTTTGCACGATTACAAGACTTCGTATATACGAGAAAGTAAACATCATGAAATACAACCAATGCAAAAGCTAAAGTAGCGAAGTTACTGAAGCTAACTTGCACAATACATTTTACAATTTTTTGTTTTCCAGGTGCTACCCACTAAACACACACGCTCTCACACTCGTAGTCAAAAGCTAATTCTTCTTCTTCTTTTCTTAATTTTTAGTGTTGGAAGGGATCGAGCCTTATCTGCCAGAAGGATTGAACTCGAGACTTTTTTTTCGAATTTATCAATCATGAGCTTTTTGTCCACTCGACCGACGCCAACCAAGAACAAACTACAAGGCAGCAGTTGTTTCGATTTTGGAGTTGTCTCTCCTAGAAGAGTGGCTGTCCCCAGCTCACAAGCCTCATCTGCTAGAGGGTTCGAACACGAGACTTTCCGGTTCAGCAACCATGAGCTTTACCAACTCGACCACGCCGACCCCTCAAAAGCGAACGATATGTTGAAATGCAATTTTCCAATTTGGTGTCATCCCATCCCATTTCGGTGGACCGTGCATTTAGTTCTGATCAGTAAAGTGTTTGGTGTAAACCAGCTCCACCCGTTTTTTTTTCTAATGGCGTCGATTTGTGCACTAATTATATATATATATATATATATATATATATATATATATATATATATATATATATATATATATATATATATACACCTATACTTTCAAGTTGAAAAAGCATAGTTTTCTTGGAAGTGGTTGTTGATTGATGTTTCGGATATTGAAATTTCTCAACGAAATACTTTCCACCTTAAAATTAGGCAGTTTGTGTCATTTCCCTCCCCTCACCCCGTTGTGATAGCTTAAATATGTGAGCTCATACTAAATATGTTTATCTATAGTCGGTTACATACAATTGGTTGTAGCATTGTTCTTTTTATAGTTAGCAAGTCTTCGTTTTGTTGGTATCAATACTTTATACATAATCGATTATCTAACTTTCAATTCTCTTCAAGTGAACTGGAAAAAAAAACCATTTGGTTCTTCTGTGAATGCTGCATTCTTTTGGACTTGGCGTCCCCCCCCCCCCCCACCACTAAACGGTGTCACTTGGTGCTGTCCCCCCCCCCCCACACACCCACCCTTGCAAGGCCTCTAATTTATATCTCTCTCACCATCTATCTGATTGATGTGGAACTTTTCGAAACTTCCGGCATGTGTACCCGCTGTTTCGTTGTGAAGGCGGGGTTTGTTGCGGCCAGTGCCGTCTACCGTCCTTAGCATGAAGTAAATACCCACCTCATCACTGTCAGAGGTCAAGACCAGTTCCAGCTCTGTATCGTTGGTCTCTGTGATGGTCACAATTAACTAAAGACGGATAAAAAAATTCAGCTGATATGGGTTTATAAAGACAGGAGTAAATTGTCTTCGTTCTATCATATTTTAAACAACAACTAGAGTAACGGTTCTACAGAGTATCGTATTGAAGTTGATTCTGCTAGTACTGTTTTAAGGGTTTCGGTTGGGTTTAATTTGGAAAAAACACAAACGGGATTCAACGTCAAGACAATGGTCAATATTAGGGTTAAAATTAAAATAAGAATAAGCAGCGTCAATGTTCTACATGGGCTGTCTTAGAAGTAAATTAAAGTGGTGGTATGTGTTGTTTCTCGCGATAAAAAAACAAACAAACAAATAATTGAATAATAGTTTTCATTGAAAATCTATTAGAAATTTGAACGAAAATGGTAAAACAAATATTTAATAACAGCTGTTACAAACTCCTAAATACTGCTTTCGTAAGATAATTTATTGTCTGAGATATTTTTCCGAGAAAATGTATCCATGATTTATATTTTGTGATTAAATATTTTGTCTTAAGATAAATTTGTCTTTGAGACCTTTTGCCCGTGTTGAAGAGTCGTAGACCCTTTTGGTGTTAATGTTCATTAAAAACTCGAGATGGATTTTTTTGTTATTTGAAAGGGCTACCAACAAGTTATGTTTAATTAGTTTAACTTCTAAAAAATTTGTTATCTACGATTTCTGCCGATGTAATTTGTATGATTGTTTTTAGGCAAATTGAATACTACTCTCGTGACACGGATAAACTGTCTCAAGAGTTACTCTCCCATCAGCCAGGCAGGCCTCTACATAGTGAACTCCAATTAACTGGCAAATTGGGAACTAAAGCAGTATCGCGAAGATATTGATTATTAAAGGCTACTAAACGGCTTCTTACTCAGAGGCGTAGCGAGCGGGGTGGTGGGGGGGGGGGGGGTGCTGATCGCACCGGGTGACACCATTTAGGGGTGGGTGGTGACACCAAGGCAAAATATAGCAAAATATATAGAGAAAAATGATAATTCCACTTAATTAAGTGATTAATTCGAGTGTTAAATAGTCTTTAAAGAGCTTCTAATCGAAAGTTTGAGGGGGAGGGGATGTAAATCGAAAATTGAAAGTTTGTCCCCGGGAAGAGTCGCTACGGCTCTGGGGGGTGACACCATTAAGTGCCGCACCGGGTGACACCCGACCTCGCTACTCCAATGTTCGTACTTGCACGTATTCGGCGCTGACTCCCTTAGTTTCGTGGACAGTAAAATTGAAACCGATGCTGATCACCCTGTCCAAATGTTCAAACTGAAATTGATGGTCGCGATACCGCTTGATGGTGTCATTGTCGGTGCCCTCTGGGGAACAAAGAAATTACTGTTTATGTAGAGAACAGTAGGGCTTAATGTTATACAGTGAACTATAGTGGTGCTGTTTAGTAGGGTACAGTAGGGCTTAATGTTATACAGTGAACTATAGTGGTGCTGTTTAGTAGGGTACAGTAGGGCTTAATGTTATACAGTGAACTATAGTGGTGCTGTTAGTCGGGTACAGTAGGGCTTAATGTTATACAATGAACTATAGTGGTGCTGTTTAGTAGGGTACAGTAGGGCTTAATGTTATACAGTGAACTATAGTGGTGCTGTTTAGTAGGGTACAGTAGGGCTTAATGTTATACAGTGAACTATAGTGGTGCTGTTTAGTAGGGTACAGTAGGGCTGTATGTGATATAAGGAACTATAGTGGTGCTGTTTATTCGGGTACAGTAGGGATTAATGTTATACAGTGAACTATAGTGGTGCTGTTTAGTAGGGTACAGTAGGGCTTAATGTTATACAGTGAACTATAGTGGTGCTGTTTAGTAGGGTACAGTAGGGCTTAATGTTATACAGTGAACTATAGTGGTGCTGTTTATTCGGGTACAGTAGGGCTTAATATTATACAGTGAACTATAGTGGTGCTGTTTATTCGGGTACAGTAGGGCTTAATATTATACAATGAACTATAGTGGTGCTGTTTAGTAGGGTACAGTAGGGCTTAATGTTATACAGTGAACTATAGTGGTGCTGTTTAGTAGGGTACAGTAGGGCTTAATGTTATACAGTGAACTATAGTGGTGCTGTTTAGTAGGGTACAGTAGGGCTGTATGTGATATAAGGAACTATAGTGGTGCTGTTTATTCGGGTACAGTAGGGCTTAATGTTATACAGTGAACTATAGTGGTGCTGTTTAGTAGGGTACAGTAGGGCTGTATGTGATATAAGGAACTATAGTGGTGCTGTTTATTCGGGTACAGTAGGGCTTAATGTTATACAGTGAACTATAGTGGTGCTGTTTAGTAGGGTACAGTAGGGCTTAATGTTATACAGTGAACTATAGTGGTGCTGTTTAGTAGGGTACAGTAGGGCTTAATGTTATACAGTGAACTATAGTGGTGCTGTTTATTCGGGTACAGTAGGGCTTAATATTATACAGTGAACTATAGTGGTGCTGTTTATTCGGGTACAGTAGGGCTTAATATTATACAATGAACTATAGTGGTGCTGTTTAGTAGGGTACAGTAGGGCTTAATGTTATACAGTGAACTATAGTGGTGCTGTTTAGTAGGGTACAGTAGGGCTTAATGTTATACAGTGAACTATAGTGGTGCTGTTTAGTAGGGTACAGTAGGGCTGTATGTGATATAAGGAACTATAGTGGTGCTGTTTATTCGGGTACAGTAGGGCTTAATGTTATACAGTGAACTATAGTGGTGCTGTTTAGTAGGGTACAGTAGGGCTTAATGTTATACAGTGAACTATAGTGGTGCTGTTTAGTAGGGTACAGTAGGGCTTAATGTTATGCAGTGAACTATAGTGGTGCTGTTTATTCGGGTACAGTAGGGCTTAATATTATACAGTGAACTATAGTGGTGCTGTTTAGTAGGATACAGTAGGGCTTAATGTTATACAGTGAACTATAGTGGTGCTGTTTAGTAGGGTACAGTAGGGCTTAATATTATACAGTGAACTATAGTGGTGCTGTTTAGTAGGGTACAGTAGGGCTTAATGTTATACAGTGAACTATAGTGGTGCTGTTTAGTAGGGTACAGTAGGGCTTAATCTTAAACAGTGAACTATAGTGGTGTTGTTAAGTAATTTTGTATTAACTATCCTGTATCTTCAGCTTGTAAGCTACAATTACTTTTCACATATTCTATGGACCAATGTTTGTATATTACTGTTATTCTATTTAATAAAAGAATATTAAAAGAAAAAAAAATGTAGATAAGTTTATGTATCACTTTGTGTTTACAGAAAGACATTATTTATCTAATTATCATATATGTTCGCATTATATATTAAATTGACTCTCATAAAAATAAACAGATTCCTATTGTTAAGATGCAACGCAAATGTATAATTTGACCAGTTCATTACATCAAGTTATGTTTACTGTTAATTCCATTTATTTTTACCTATTTTTTTGCCACTTGGGTATAAAAAGATTAGGCTGTATGTCCAAATAATGTAAATATAATTTTTTCTTCATTTAATTTATGAAGAATCCATTTCACCACAAAGTATTAAGAAGAAGAAGACAAAGTACTATATAATTAAATTCTTCTTCTTCGTTCTTAATTTTTAGTGATAGGAAGCGATCGAGCCTTATCTGCCAGAGGGTTGAACTGGCGACTTTTTTCGAATTTATCAACCATGAGCTTTTGCCGACTCGACCACACCTCCATCACAATTTAACTGGTTATGCGCCATTGAGGCCATTGACTCCGATTTCAACCTGCTTTGATTTTTGGATTTGCTTCGATAGCCTTTGTCCAACCGAGAACACACTACAAGGCAGCAGTTGTTTGATTTTGGAGTTGTCTCTCCTAGAAGAGTGGCTGTCCCCAGCTAACGAGCCTCATCTGCCCGAGGGTTCGAACTCGAGGCTTTTCGGTTTAGCAACCATGAGCTCTACAGACTTGACAACGTCGTGTACGTATAAGATCATAGTCCAATGACATATGCAACATATGCAAATGAACTAAATAGCTGATAGCAATTTATAGTCTGCCTAGGAACTTTTGATTTTATAGTTTCTGTTTGTTTCGGAAAATAAAAATCCATCAATTACAACATAAAATCGCCATTTTAAAATCATTTACCAACCAAAAAGATATATAACACATGCGTATGATATAGAGTTCTAAACCTAATTCTGGTCACAAGAAACAAGCATACTACCTAATAATTTTAAAATCTTATTTTGAATTATTTTGATATTTTCCTACAATTTTTATTTGACCTCAGAAACATTTTTTGTCATCATGACTTGGGCCAGGGGTCTCCAAACTTTTCAGTCCGAGGGCCGCATTAACTATTGTTACGATCCCAAGGGATCTTTACCTGTGTTTGGCCCCATCGAGGAGGGCCAGGTAATTAAAATGGAATGCTTAGGCATGTTAGTGCACTGGCCAGCATAGGCCGTGAGAGTCTAGGGGTCTTGACGCAGTTGACGGCCACACCACGGATTAGATTTCACGTGGTGGGCGTGGCAGAATTGGAGTCTTCGGGACTCGGGTAGTAACGTGGCCAACAGCCCATAAATTACCTGGCGACACCACGGGCTGACCGTTGATGCTTGACCTAGGCAAGTGACGGTCCGTGGTTTACGGCTTGGAAAACCTTCCAGATCGGACGGGACCGAGGGGACCGTCATCGACGGATATGACCTAGGGTCAGGCCTTAATTAAAATCGTTCCCACGGTGTAGAACGGGGGACGAGTACTTTAGGAGGGTAGACAGGGGACACTCTCGAAAGACACACTCAGCGACACTCACGGGGAACTCACGAGCCAGACACTCGGAGACGGACGGACTCGTCTCGGATAGCTAGGTCTAGAGGAGACAGACATGGGGCGTCTCTGTGAGCTAGTGGACAGCCAAGAGATGCCTGTACTGTAGTAGACCTAGGCTAGTTAGACAGTTAGGGACAAGTAGGGTAGTCGTTCTAAGAACTTTAGTTGTTTGTAGCTAAGTGTGTATATTTCTGATTGTTGTACTTCGGTGGCGGGTTAACTTTAAGTGTGTAATTTGTGGCAATTAAATAGAGATTACTGAAGTTGGCTTTTATTTATTTTTATTTTTCTTCTTCTTGTTTACGATTCCCTGACTAGTTCGAAAGGATTAGAGAAGGGGGTCGTAACACTATCAATTTTCAGTTCGGGGCCAGTTTCTTCCAGGCATGTCTTTGATTTTTCTGGGCAAAGTTTCTCAGCCATTACCAACAAACGTTTTTTCCGTGGACAAAAAGATCTCCGCGGGCCGGATGAGAGGACCTCGCGGGCCGCATCCGGCCCGCGGGCCGTAGTTTGGAGACCCCTGACTTAGGCAATAACAAAATACTGTATTCACGGTACGTTTTGTAATAGTGATGCAAAGAGGGGAGGGGGAATCACTAACAACACAGATACAAATACATTTGTAATTAGTCAATAATGTTTCTGTATATTATTAAAACACGGGATCCCTGATGTCTTCTAGTAGACTAATCATTTCTCATATTATTAAAACACAAGTTCCATGCAAAAGCCTGTTGACTTACCAAAAGCACACTTATGCAAAAATATAATCCAGACGCTTTCGTTAGCCGGGTACGTATCGTTGAAGACCATCAAGAACGAATTTTGATCCTCTTCAATTACTTTGCCTCTGAGTCAAAAGTCACGGGGGCAACTCCTCACAGTGCTCTTACCGTCTCTGCTGCTGTCCATAGGTTTAGCCTCGTTCACGAACGAAACAATCGAGTCGTTTCTACTGCTGCACTTATCCTGACACTGAGGTTCAAACCATCCGATTTCGCAGCCTGCAAAAATTTAATCAACAAACACACCAATGTCGTATATACATTTTTTTTCTTTAAATACTATTATAGAAAGATAAGAGCAGTTACCATAACCTATATTTACAATAGGCTTGAAGCGCCGGTTTCAAATGGTTGTGCCAGAAAGTAAATTTTTCAACCAAAATTGAATAGTTTACATTTGTAAAGTAAGTACAAAATGATTTCCGGTTTTATTAAGGCTAAAAAATTTTAACAAATAAATACTAGTAAAATAATAGTAATTTAGCTAACACTTTTATTTTAAATTTGTAATATGCTGATAAGGGACTGTACATTATTTTATATAAAAAAAAACAACCGCTTTAATGTATTTTATCATGGAAAACAATTGTGATTTTAATTGTTTTACTATATTTGGCTTAATGTAAATGGTTTTTCAGCGGCTTATATTCAATACGAAAATATGAAAATGTGTGTAATCGATGGTTTCAAAACGGCCTTAATGTTTTTAAATGGAACTATAGGGCTGGTAAGTAGGTCAATAAACAGTTCTATGGTTCATGCAGGTTTTATTGAGACGTAGAACTGTTTATTGACCTACTTACCAGCCCTATAAGTGTATGCTCTGCCCTATTTTAACACGATATTTTTTTTTAAATTAGTATGGTTACATAGACTTTTCAAGCCTATTGCAACAAGCCTAAATCTGTCTTCAATATATTTTTACTTAATCAAACATTTTTAAAAGTATTATTGTTATTACTAGAAGCCTAGCAAAAAATATACATGGAAGGTGTGGTATTCAATCATTTTAAAATGGGAGACGAAAAGACACTTGCATGAATTGAGAACAATTCTGGTTATGGTTAGCAGGGAACAGGTTGACTACTGGGGATCACGGGAAGGCAATTGGCGTTGTACAGTGTAGAAGCAGGGAAGAGTGGATTCCCTGGTGTGTTACCAAGTGACTTTGCAGACAGGGTCGACGTTAGAAATAATCAGTACGAAGGCCTTATACAGATTCCTTGTTCATTTATGGCACCTTATTTATTACTTAAACTTGGCGATGACGAACGGACGATAACTAAACTAAACAGGATGACTTGCATGATTACTAAACGATACGACAAAAACAGGATCCATGGTTAACACAATTTCCACTTCTAAACATTCCCTCTCTTTTTATACCTCCTAATCTCGAATTCCTATCATATACGACACTTCCCTGCTAATAGTTACTGTGCTACATACGTGTTCAGTTAATAACGTTTTATACAAAATATACAATAAACATAATATAGCTTAAGTTTAGAAAAGTTAAACAAAAGGGACGCTACTCTACATCATCTTACTGTTAACGTCCCCTATATTATAATTATATATCCAACCAATTCACAACAAGGTGGAGACATATATTGCTCTGATCTACTTTATTAAACAATTTACAACTATATCTCGATTCTAGTCAAAGGATCTATTCGTAGATTAAAAGATTGATCAAAGCATGAATAACCGAAACAACACCCGTTTATTTTGAACGACAGCTAAAGCGTTTGAAGTCTACAGTTTTTAATATACAACACGCCTTGTGCGTTTACGTAGTCAACTAACATAATATTTTTTACTTCACGAAAATTCACAAGTGAAGCTCATCCGTTTATTCACATAAAATATGAAATTTATTTTATTTAAAAAAACGTTTAATATTAATTATTTTAAATCACTTTTATTATCATTGTATTATGTCGTTATCGGCGTTTAATTTTCTTAAACTCATATTTTTACTTATTTTGATATTTTCCTATTAGTTTGATTTAATGTTAGAGTATTGCTGACATTTTGAGTTATACAAAATTAAGGAATCTACTATATTGGCGGTAAGGTTAGAGATAATAATGCGAATAATGGAGCAAGGATTAAAAAAACAAAACGTAAAAATAGTTAACATTATTTTTACAATTTTGAAAATCACATGATCCCTATTGATGCCAGCTAACTTACGATTAGTGATGTTACTAAAACACATCAACTCGACGCTTTCCTTAACCGGGCACGTATTTAAGTTTTTGGTGAAGTTTGTCTGGCTCATATTCAGGCTCTCTTCGCTCTCATTGCGTATGACTTCATGGGGAAAACGGCTCAGAGCTCTCGCTTCGAGTTTCCTGTCGTCTTCACAGTGTGACACTACAGAGTCCCTCTTGTACCAGGACTCGTTACTACAGCGGTAGTTATCCTGGCAATCAGATCCAAACCACCTGACATCACAGCCTGCAAACAGTTGATAAACAAACGCGTCATTGTCTTGTGGCTATTTTAAATTCTAACCGATCATACAAAATTAAACAAATGATCATTTAATGTATTAACAATGTAAAAGGCCAAATTAATTTTTAATATGCATATATTTAAATAATGTTTTTTTTAAAAGGATTTTTAGCTTGTAATGCTAATCGCTACAAATAATATGAATTTACAACGTAAACACCAAATTAATGTGGGATATGTTTATACTTAAATAATGATTTTTTTTAAAAGGGATTTTTAGCTTCTTATGCTAAGCTCTACAAATAATATGAATTTATTCATTTAAGCTGCGTTTGTAAAAAAAAAATATTTAAAAAAATATTCTGTTAGACAATAGTATATTATTATCTTACCGAGCAGAGGGTGAGTAATGTATAAAATTAAAATGAAAATTAATTTCCATGACTTTTTGATCTCCATGTCAATGTCTATGAACTCTTTTTCTCTCCATCGAAAATAAATTAACCTTGAATCAGCCCGCTTTAATTATTGCTTGTTTTATTAATGTTATATATTTTTTACACGTTGATGTTTTATTATTACATTTTAATTCAGGAAATGAAGAAATAAAGGTTGTTTTGCTCTTGGCAGATGTGTGTGCTCGTCCAATTTCAATGCTCAACGGCGCATAAAGAAGATATTAACATAAAGAGTGCGCAATATAGTTTTACATTGTATTGATTCATTTTGTTTATACGCTGTTCAAATCCACGAATAGAACTTACCGTTACACAAGTCACCAGAAGAGAATCTCAATGACATAGAGCTGAAGCTAGCATTTTCCTACACTGCTCTATTCAACCACTCAAACTTTCTATCACTCCACCACTCAACCATTCCACCACTCCTACACTCCTTCGCTTCTCTACTCCTCCACCCCACCACTCATCAACTCCTCCACTCCTCCTTTCAGTCACTCATCCACTCCAACACTCCACCACTCCTCCATTCCACCACTCCTACACTTCTCCGCTCCTCTACTCCTCCACCCCACCACTCATCAACTCCTCCACTCCTCCTTTCAACCATTCATCCACTCCACCACTCCTCCACTTCACCACTCCTCCACTCCTCCACCTCACCACTCATCAACTCCTCCACTCCTCCTTTCACACACCCCTCCACTCAAACAATCCACTACTCCACCACTACTCCACGCCTCCACTGCTCCACTACACCCCTCCTCTACTCCTCCACTCCATTACTCCAACACTCCAACACTCCTCCACTCCTCCAATCCTCCACTTCATCACTCCTCCACTCTACTACTTAACAACTCAACCACTCCACCTCTCATCCACTCCACCACTCTTCCACTCTACTAATCAACCATTCCACCACTCCTCACTCCTCCACTCATCCACTCCACCATTCCACCACTCCACCTTTCCAACACTCCACCACTCTACCACTCCAACACTCCACCACTCCTTTACTCCTGCACTCCACCACATAACCAAACTCGCGTTACCATTAAATTCACATCAACCCACCATTCCAATCTGGCCCGTACACGACACACTAGCATACTCCATATACTGTTAACTCACTCCTGTGCATACCATACTCACTCCGGCTTCCCTCCTCCCTCAACTTTTCCAAGCCGAAAAACACCATGTGCCCACTCTGCTAAGCTAATCCATTGGCCCAATCAAATGACCTAATTTATTGACCCAATCCGCTAATGTAATCAATTGTCCAAAACCCATAACCTAATCCATAGACTTATCCCATGACCATATCTATTGGCCCAAACCCCTGATTTAAGCAATTGTCTAAACCTTATGACCTAACTCAATTAAACTGCTGAATTCTAACATTCCCCACATTTATATTGCTGACACGTTTTAATTACCACCCAGTCGTTTATGTCACGAGATCGTATCCAGACAGTTAAAAAGTTAATTACAATATTGCACATGTATTTTAATTAGTTCAGGCGACATAATATATAGAATATTACCGATGCAAAAAAATGGAATTTGTTATAGGGTGAATAAGGAGAAGTCCTCATTGTGTGTGTGTGTGTGTATATATATAAATTATATATATATATATATATATATATATATATATATATATATATATATATATATATATATATATATATGTATATATATATGTATATATTTGTGTGTGTGTATAGATAAATTATATATATATATATATATATATATATATATATATATATATATATATATATATATATATATATATATATATATATATATATATTTGTACATTAATATATAAACCGACACAAGTAAACTGGCCCCTCCGCTTCATACTCACTCCCGCTCCAATAGTAAAAGCCCATGAACATTTTAACACCCAACCTCCTGACCCAATTACCCGACGAATTTCCCATGATTGTTTTTGTCGATTTTACCTTCATAGCGGCCGTAAAAGAGAGAAATTTAAAAACAAATAGGCTTGAAATTGTTAAAAAATCTAATATAAATTTTAAGAATCAAAGTAAAAAAAGTTGCTTAGGCAGAGCACTTGAAAATTTATATATTTTTTTAAAGATGAAGACGATATTTCTATTTATTTCATCAAGACTAAATTTTAACCCAATGTTTCACTTGCGTAAGACAAGCATGGATTGGCTGTACAGAAACGCTGTGTCGATCTTCTTTATGTATACTCCACTATTTACTTTCTCGTATACAGAGTATAAAGAAAATATTGTAATCGTGCAAAAAAAAAAATTGTGATTTTTGCAAATCTCGACGTTTTACATCCCCCTGAGTCGGGAAAACATAATTTTGCAATCTTGTCCGTATGTCTGTGTGTGTATGTGTATATGTGTGTCTGTGAACACTATAACTTGAGTACCGTTACAGCTAGGTTGATAAAATTTCATATATAAGTATATTAAATTAGTAGATCCGTATCAACTTTTGAGCGATTTCCAATAACCGGAACTTTTTCGACTTTTAATTTTTCAAAAAAACTATAACTATAGATAAATGAAATTTCACATATAAATGAAAGATATAATTCTCTGTTTTCTGTGAAATTTTGAGTAATATCCGTTGACAGGAAGTAGTATGTTTTGCTATTTCCGATTTCTAAAAAAAACGTATGTGAATTTATAAAGTACTAATAATTTTCCGCACTATTATTCACTTGGTGTGCAATTCTTTTTTTCTACGAGATTCTATTCTATTTTAAAAAGTTTAAGTAATTAAAAAAGGATTAAAAATCATGTTTATATCGGCCCGAATTTCCATCCCCCGTTGTGTTATATAGAATATTCGAGAAAGTTTAGGCGAGATCACTCCCGGTTTATTTGTATTTGCCGATACAATTTTTTAATACAATCATACTTTTTTAAACCACATCGCCTAATGATGACATAATATGTGCACTCTCAGTGACAAAATGACAACAAACATTGGCTTCATTTTTTTTTAATTTGGCTTAGTTACGGAAAAAATCTAAAAATATCAAATATATCCAATCTTTAGTACAGTCCGACCAAAACCTCACAATAAAGTGTTTTTTTTACAATAACATTTATTATAATAACACCACTCACTAATTTTAAAGTATTCAATAATCCAGGAGTAAGACTGTAAGACTGAAGCCAAATCTGACTTGAACTTAGGTCACATGTCTAGGATTTGCTTTAAAATAAAGTTGGCGATCCGATAATGTAAATTTTTAAAACTCTAAATGTTTAAAACATTATATTTAATATAGCTTTAATAATATAACTGCTTGCTGTTTCTATTTGGTTTCAACACTATTATCAATTATCTAATTCGAAAATGCAAAAGGTAAATATAATTAAGCTATTTGTTAGGTATATTAGGTCAGTCGGAGTACGTCGGTTTTAGCTTTAATACCTAGGCCCATGAAAACGCAAGGAATAAATGACTGTTAATACATTATTAGCTTTCGGCTATAACATTAATAGGTAATATTAGTAGAGGTTAAATTAGTAAATCATTTAATTAAAACAACATTTTTCTACTTTACAATTACGGAGAGTATGCTAAACAATTACAAAATACTGTCCCAGTGTTTCTTCCAGGTATTTCCCCGAAAAAGTCTACCGCCCCCCCCCCTTCCCCGGGAAAATAGAATTATTTATACAGAAGATTTCCCCTGCCCTGGAAATTTTAGTCCGCCCGCTCGAAAATTATATTTGTATATTATGTTAAAAACATAAAACGTGTTACAAAATATTCAGCTGAAAAAGAATTGTTAGGGTTTGATTTAAATTAGAGTTTTAAAAAGAAACGAATTCATTTACTCAATGACAAAACTGATTGTAATGTGGTATGCTTGTGTTTTTGTGTTTGTGTATTAATGTGCATGCATGTTTATTCTTAGAATACAAGCACTGTGCTATATTCCTGTACAAGCGTTGTGATATATATATATATATATATATATATATATATATATATATATATATATATATATATATATATATATATAGGAAAAGAAATGAATACTATAATATTTTAAGAAATATGTTAATAGGGTTCAATAGTTTCATAGCTAATCCATTGACATTTACATACTCATTAAATATTATTTATTATCCCAGTAGTTAAAAGTCAAAACATTATGGTAAAACATGAAGTAATGTTATTTAATAGAGAAATAAAGAGCATGGGTTGATGATAAGATAACCAGTTTAACATGTTTTGTTGTTATTCAACAGGGTTTGTGGGATTACAGCCGGTATGCCACACTGAAAAAGAAAACAAACAGTTGCATTATATGCAAGGAAAATCATTTGACAATGTAATGTGTAAATATTATTTTTTTAAAATGGAGTTCATTTAATTTGGAGTCACTTAATTGTCTGTCAATTCGTCAATGTGTACAACCGGCGTCTGTCTGTCAAACTTCCATGTAGTCCTTCGGTCCAGAGGCGTAGCGAGGGGGGGGGGGGGCGGGGGGGACATGTGTCCCCGGGCGCTGACCTTAGAGGGGGGTGGGGTGCTAAATTGAAAGTTTGAGGGGGGTGCAAATGAAAAGTTCGAGGTGGGGGGGGGGGGGGGTGCAAATCGAAAGTTTGAGGGGGGTGCAAATAAAAAAATTTCGAGGAGGGGTGCAAATCGTAAGTTTGTCCCCTGGCTCAGGGAAGGGTGGCTACACCTCTGCTTCGGTCGCCTGTCTGTCTAATTGCCTGCTACACTAAACGACCAGTAAATTAATATAGAATATAAACCTAAACTTCTACCTGAGTACGGTGGAGGCGGCTCACTGGGTGCTCGTTGCTGTGAAACTGGGGACACACTGTTGTAGCTTGCGACAGTCAGTGTCGTGTTTGGGGGCAGTTCGAGTCTCATTTTAAATAAACTGGAATACGACGGTGGTGAGTCTATTGGGACAGGGCTCTGTATTGATGCAGTGTTCTGATGCGGCTCATTGTTTAGTGCGTTGTTAGTTGGAAGAACTAGTGGGTTGACGTGTGTTGAACTTAGGTCATTTTGATCAGGTAAACCAGCCGTTGCTGATGTTAATTGAGGCGTATTATTGATGCCATGCATGGTTTGATTTTGTCGTTGAAGAGCTTTACTTTTTCTCCGGCAGTAAAAATTGCAACACGCCAGTGTAGATATGGTGAACACAACTGTAAAGGGTATAACATTGACGCAAACCAACCAAGTTACATCACTAGATTGGGGCGAATTTGAGAGAGATACTAGGGATGGGGTGGTCGTAAAGGGCAGGGTGTAGTTTGTAGTTAAGTAGACGTCAGGTGCGTGGGTAGTTGAAGGCGTTGATGTGAGATATGTTGCATTACTCTTGGAAGTGTCGTTGTCGGCTGAGAGTAAAAATACTTTGTTTTATTATTTCAAAAACACAACAAATACCGTTCAAAGAAGTATTACATATAGTGTATGTAAAAAGTATTTTGCTAGCAATAGTTCAATGGCTATTTTACTAAAATACATTAATTTGAATACGTTTATATTCTTAGCAAATCTTCAAAAGAAAATGACCAATCCTATTTAGACTTAAAATACGAACATGAACTAGTATCCCATTGTATTTTTTATCAAAGTAACAACTAGCTGTATACAGAATGTAACAAAAAGCAAAGAATATTGAACATATAGATATAATGTAAGGACGCTATACGTACCTAAAAGTGGTACAAAGAACATTTCATATAACTACAACAAACTAAATGGGACGGAGTGGTCTAGCGGTAGAGAGTTGGACTGCTAACCCGTAAGTCTCGAGTTCGAATCCGGGTACACCGTCCCTGATTCCACCCAACATGATGGGTACCTAACTCACGTTAGGTAAAGTAAAGGCAGCTGAGCATAGTGATGACCACACTGTCTTTTCGTATGCCAAAGTCACAGATACAAGTGAACTCTACTTCACTTGCCACATATACCGTCAGGTTTGAAAGGGAAACTTTTACTTTGTAACAAACTAAAGATCTAATCGCATTTAGAACGTTGTAAAAAATAAATAAATTACGTTTAACGTAATCCACGACGTGCATCAAACATCGATCTTGGCCTTCCCAAAAATAATCCATGGAACAAAAAAGTCCAAACATGTCCTTTTCCACATGCTTCACAGTCAGTTTAGATACAAAAATCTGGGGGTCTGCGTTTTGTTCTTCATTAACTATTATAAAATTCGCTGAGGAAGGAAAATAAATTACTATATACATGTATGAGTTTGTCGAAAATAAATCACATGCTCTTGTTTTTTGCTGACAGATAAGCCCTGAAAATTTCCAGAAAACTGTAAAAATTATATTTAAAAAAAAAAAAAATAAATAAATAAATAAATAAATAAATAAATATATATATATATATATATATATATATATATATATATATATATATATATATATATATATATATATATATATATATATATATATGCTAGATGCAAGCCAGAGCTACCAACAGTATTTTCCTAAAATAAAAGACAAAAATAAAGCTTTTAAACAACTTGGAACAAATAATATTACTGGCACATCAACACATCCCCTAAAACACTCAGCCACCTGGGTACATAACCCAACTCAAGAAAACAACGCTGCACTACACACAACTACAAATATTAATAATAAATCCTACCATGTTCGAATCCTTTGCCATCTTTGTTGTACTGGATTGAGCAATTTTTGTAAGGGTGACGAGAGGTATTATTTCTCCATTTATTTTGAGCAAAGTCCATATTATTTCCCTATTCCAATATAAACGACACACACAGGTAATGGGATCTCCTATTTTGAGTGTGTAGATAGCTGCATCACACTGTGCCACTATTTTGATAAAATATTATGACAATTTTTATTACTGAAAAGATTACAACATTTATCATTAAGAACAACAATAGGGTGGCAACATACGTGACTAGAATAACGCTTTTTACGTTCTCGTATACGAAGTATAGACGAAGTATTGTAATCATGCAAAAAAAAAAAAAACCTCCCTAAGTTGGAAAACCAAGGTTTTACAATTTTGTCCGTATGTCTATGTGTGTATGTGTATATGTGTGTGTTTATGTTTGCAGGTGTTTGTATGTGTGTGTCTGTGTGTCCGTGTGTCTGTGAACACGATAACTTGAGTATCGTTACAGCTAGGTTGATTAAATTTCAAATATAAGTATTATATCAAATGTGTAGTTCTGCATCAATTTTTCAGCGATTGCCGGTAACCGAAACTTATTCTACTTTCAATTTTTTTAAAAGCCTATAACTTGAGTTCTGTTTCAACCAGGGGCGTAGCGAGGGGGGGGCGGGGGGTGCGGACCGCACCGGGTGACACCATTTAGGGGGGTGACACCAAGGCAAAAAATAGCAAAATATATAGAGAAAAACTCGAGGGGGGGGGTGCAAATCGAAAGTTTGAGGGGGGGGTGCAAATCGAAAATTTGAAAGTTTGTCCCTGGGAAGGGTCTCTATGCCTCTGGGGGGGTGACACCATTAAGTGCCGCACCGGGTGACACCCGACCTCGCTACGCCACTGGTTTCAACTACACAAATAAATATTCACATGTAAGTAAAAGATCTAATTCTCTGTCTTCTGTCAAATTTTAAGTACTTTTCGTTGAGCGGAGGGAGTCTTCTTCTTCTTCGTTCTTAATTTTTAATGTTGGAAGGGATTGAGCCTTATCTGCCAGAGGTTTTGAATTCGAGACGTTTTTTACTTCATCAATCATGCGCCCGGAGGAAGTAATTTACGCGATTTCCTTTTTCGCAAAAAAAATATTAATTTATAAAGTAGTATTACTCCGCACTAATATACAAATATTGTTCGTCGTTCACATGGTTCACAATTCTTCTTTTTTCAGCGAGATTCGATTTGATTTTTAAAAGTTAAAGTACTTAAAAATTGATTAAAAACCATGTCTATATCCTGAGTTGCCATGTCCCGTAGTGTCAAGAACCGATAACAATAAAATCTGACATCAAATTTGATTTAATTTGATGAATAATTATTTTTTAAAATTAATTAAATTTAAAATGTTCTGAAAATAGTAGGGTGGCTACTACCATTTTACACAATTATACGCGATTTGTCATGTTTAGTTCGTGCGCGGTAGTTTTTAGTCATGCAACTCTATAGTATTAAAAATATCAAAGCACCGACGACAAAAAATGCATAAAAATCGTTTTAATAAAACGGTTTTATATAATAATGCACTAAAACTGAGAAAGTAAATGAGTTTCTTTAAATTTACAATAATACACTACTGTTTAAATAACTATGAAGAAAAGCGTGGATCTCTAGCGTAATATTAGGAAAAATATCCAATAGATAATATTATAGTGACCCACGCTTTTCTTTATAATGATGTATAAACTTTAGTTCAACTAAGTGTAACCGGAAATAGAAGAAAGTACAACTTCTGGTTATTGGGGGTCATTCAATATTTAAAATTAATCAAAGTATAAAATCCTATACTTGCATATGACATTTTACCAACCTAACTAAACAGTACTCATGTTATAGTGTTCACGCGTAGAGTAAAGCACCACTTCCGTTTGCACTCAAATGTGCCTCGCCCGGCACTGGAGTAGAAGCCCCAGGGAAAGCGGAAGAAAGGGCGCCCAAGACAGATCTGGAGGCTTAGTTCATCTCTCAGAAGAACTGCAGTCAGCAGAGATGCGTTGAAAGATTGGAAAATTGTATATCTTGGGATCGGACAAAATGGAAGGAAATGATGGAGGCCCTATGGTACACAACGAGCAAAGTGTACTTGGTCAAGTCATGACTTCCGGTTACCGAAAATCGTTTAAAAGTTGAAAAAAAAACACCTGTTAATACAATGTAGTACTATGAATTTTGTCAACGTACTTGAAATGGTTTTTTGAGAAACCAAAAATAGAGTAAGTGCAATTTCCGGTTACTGGAAATTACTCAAAGTTGAAATTTGGGCAACCTAACTGATTCGGTAACGCACAGTCGTGTTTACAATTGAAGAAGAATGTAAATCGTAATTTTTTTTAAAAATATCACTTAATAATTTAATACGATTACAATACATCCTTTATATTAAATACGATAACGTAGGAAGATGTAAAAAGGCAAAAACTGTTGAAAATACATTTAGTTTTTGTGAACTTTTACAAATTATTAAGATTAATTTCTAAAAAAAAAGGAAATCGTAAAGTACCTTCATGACAAAGCATGATTAACAATAAAACACTGAATTTCATTTTCCTTGTTTTGAGGTTCACGTTTACACAATTAGCAGACGTGTTTCACACTAAGAAGAGAAGTAAACTGAAAGTAAATGGATTACACAATATGTAGATGTATTACAATGGAAGAAGATGTATAAAACTAGATGTATCAAAATATAAACGTAAGTGTTAAAGAACATACACCTTAACCAACATCCAGATTCTCTATTACTCATTACAATAAAAACAATACATTCACAAAGTGCTCTAATTTATATATGTATATATATATATATATATATATATATATATATATATATATATATATATATATATATATATACATATATATATATATAAATTAAAATCCAATAAGAATCTTTGAGTCTCTATAAAGTCTAATCTATATTTTTGTATTATACCTTGCTTTAAGTCTACTGATCTAGAGTTTCTTATCGTTGACGCTAATAAAGCAGGTGATCTATAAAACGCAATTTAAAATTATAGATAATATATCGCAGTACTTTTTTATTTTATTATATATAAAACACACTTTTTATTTATATAAGACATATTATATAGGTCAAATATTATTACTCGATGAATCCAGAACAAGAAAACTTAAACACATCCTCCTTGTTGAGAAAACGCAACAAAATGACACAAACCAGGATCTTTTTGTTTCGCAATACCATCAAGGGAGGCAGGTTTTCCTGGTAATTCTATTCATAGTACGCCCCTAACGTACACACTACTGTTGTGTTCAGCCGACCGTGTCCATGTTGTGTACCTTTATAATTTAAACCAGCCGGGTATGTCAATGTATGTTTGTTTATGTGTTTGTGTCCGCAGGTCTGTGTTCAGAGTTTCTTCCAGGCATCTTTCCGAGAAGGGGTTGGGGACGGGATGGAGACAGTCTACCGCTCCCCCACAAACTAACAGTAAAAACAAAAATCTGAGAAACAAAAAAATCAGTGGGTCGGAGTGGTCTAGCGGTAGAGAGCTGGACTGCTAAACCGTAAGTCTCGAGTCCCTAAATCCACCCAACTGATGGGTACCTAACTCACGTTTGGGAAAGTAAAGGCGTCTGGGCATAGTGCTGACCACACTATCTCTTCATATGCCGAGGTCACAGAAACAAGTGAACTCTACTTCACTTGCCCCATAGACCGTCAGGTTTGAAAGGGAAACTTGTCACTTGGTGTGCAATTCTTTTTTTTTACGAGATTCTATTCTATTATAAAAAGTTTAAGTAACTAAAAATAGATAACAAATATTGTCTATGTCCTGAATTGCCATCCCTCGTAATTTTATATTAGAATATTCGAGAAAGTTTAGGTCCCGGTTTATTTTCTTTATACACAATAACAGAGAATTAAGAACAGTTTAATTTACTCTGATGGGTACCTAACTCACTTTAGGGAAAGTAAAGGCGTCTGGGCATAGTGCTGACCACACTATCTCTTCATATACCGAGGTCACAGAAACAGGTGAACTCTACTTCAAAAATAGTCACGACTCCCAAAAAACTTCACAAATGGCAAAGTGCGGACAATTCCTGCGATTGATAAATTACTGGTAGACAAATTAGACTACCTCTTGTAAAATCACGGCGAAGATCGAAATTTATATGTTCATAAAACCTATATTCAAAACATCTGTGGTCAAAGCACCTGTGGCTCATATTTTTTAATATGACGAGTACACAATTAATTACATTAGACACACATTCGTTTCAACTACTCAAAGATTGACAACAAAAAAGACTAAAAAACACAGTATAATTTATTGTGAACTTATAAAAAATAATACTAAAGGTTATAAAAATGAATTCATTGAATAAGTTATAAATACAACATTCTGAAAACTACGGATTGTGTTCATTGTTCATGTATAAAACAGACACGTTTCAAGAATTTTTTGAAGTGAAAGCTACTAAAGGAAAGTGCTATTGTCTCGTGCTAAAAAAACTAAGGAAAAATATTTCATCCATTCTGTGCAGAATCTCTACAGAAGAGGAAAGATTATGCGATGTTATGTAGGGGAAGGGGTGGTATAATGTAGGGGAAGGGGTTGGATACTGTAGGTGAAGGGGTGGTATACTGTAGGGGAAGGGGTGGTATACTGTAGGGGAAGGGGTGGTATACTGTAGGGGAAGGGGTGGTATACTGTAGGGGAAGGAGTGGTATACTGTAGGGGAAGGGGTGGTATACTGTAGGGGAAGGGGTGGTATACTGTAGGGGAAGGGGTTGGATACTGTAGGGGAAGGAGTGGTATACTGTAGGGGAAGGGGTGGTATACTGTAGGGAAAGGGGGGTATACTGTAGGGGAAGGGGTGGTATACTGTAGGGGAAGGGGTGGTATACTGTAGGGGAAGGGGTGGTATACTGTAGGGGAAGGGGTGGTATACTGTAGGGGAAGGGGTGGTATACTGTAGGGGAAGGGGTGGTATACTGTAGGGGAAGGGGTTGGATACTGTAGGGGAAGGGGTGGTATACTGTAGGGGAAAGGGTGGTATACTGTAGGGGAAGGGGTTGGATACTAGGGGAAGGGGTGGTATACTGTAGGGGAAGGGGTGGTATACTGTAGGGGAAGGGGTGGTATACTGTAGGGGAAGGGGTTGGATACTGTAGGGGAAGGAGTGGTATACTGTAGGGGAAGGGGTGGTATACTGTAGGGAAAGGGGGGTATACTGTAGGGGAAGGGGTGGTATACTGTAGGGGAAGGGGTGGTATACTGTAGGGGAAGGGGTGGTATACTGTAGGGGAAGGGGTGGTATACTGTAGGGGAAGGGGTGGTATACTGTAGGGGAAGGGGTGGTATACTGTAGGGGAAGGGGTTGGATACTGTAGGGGAAGGGGTGGTATACTGTAGGGGAAAGGGTGGTATACTGTAGGGGAAGGGGTTGGATACTGTAGGGGAAGGGGTGGTATACTGTAGGGGAAGGGGTGGTATACTGTAGGGGAAGGGGTGGTATACTGTAGGGGAAGGGGTGGTATACTGTAGGGGAAGGGGTGGTATACTGTAGGGGAAGGGGTGGTATACTGTAGGGGAAGGGGTGGTATACTGTAGGGGAAGGGGTTGGATACTGCAGAGGCGTAGCGACCCTTCCCGGCGCCCGGGGCGAACTTTCAATTTGGCGCCCCCCCCCCCGCTTATATATATATATATATATATATATATATATATATATATACATGTGTGTGTGTATAATTATGTGTGTGTTTATATATAAGCTTGTGTGTGGGTAAGAGTGTATGTGTGTGTGTGTAAGCGTGTGTGTAAGCGTGTATGCTACAGTCCGGACAAGGTTTAATAATTACATTGTATGATTTTCATTCCTTAAAACTTTACGACAATGTAATTCCCATTAAGATGCGTTTAACTTTTTTTGCAAAAGATTAGTAATGTCAGTAAAAAAAATAAGCCTGATCTGTGTTAGAGGGTAGTTTGTAGCTAACGCTAATATGTTTAGACCAGCCTTTTATGTTCTAGTTTTGGAACGATCTCTGTTGTGATATGGTACATAGTTGGATTCGAAGTTTTTTAGAGTAAGGACACACAAGTGACATACAAGAAGAAGTTATCAGAAATATTTATTGTTCACATTGGAATACGACATTGGTATTTCGTTGATTGGTTGATGGTATGACAAAACAAGCTAGAGAAAACAAACTGGAATCCAACGGATGTTAACAGCTCGTAGTCTTGGATTTCGCAGATTTGCCCTGCCTTCTCGCACACAGAGTTTCTTCCAGGCATCTCTTCGGGGGGGGGGGGGGGGTGGCGAAGCCCCCCCCCGAAATTTTTTTACCGCCCCCCCCCCGAACGAAATTTATATAATTTATATATAGAAAATATATACGTTTAACAGTGTCCGCCCCCCCCCCCCCGAAGAAAGTCTACTGCCCCCCCCCCCCCGAAAATTTCAAGTGCCCCCCCGGAGAAAAAAGTCTGGAAGAAACACTGCTCGCACAACGTCAAACACAAATGCAGAACTAATTGTATTGATTGAAGAAGCAGTAACAGTCAATTTAATGATAGCCCATGACATTCTGATTATAATCAGCAGCAATAAAACGCGTTTTAACACTAAGAAAATGTAGAATTCAAATGCATTGTCAAAAAAATTCAATCAGGATCTATAACTAAATGTGGTCTCTTTTACTGTATGGCTTGGAGCTAGATTACAGACAGTGGAGAATGAAATAAGAGCATGGAAAAAAGTGGTGGTTAGTGGCTTAGGGATTCAAGAATCCGTGATATTTAGTTCTCTTTAATATAGTTCAGTGATCCAGGTAAGATGTAATGCAATCAATCAAAAGTATCTGATCTCTCACGTTGAAGTTGAGAGAATCGTAAGAATCTTACAAAGAACTAGTCGCGTCTTTTTTTTTAAACAAAACTGGCTATTGAAATTGTACTTTACGCGTTAATACACTTGGTTTCTTTACTAAGTGTTAAGAGAGTTATCTGCTCACCAATCCAGTACAAATACTAGCGATTTTTGTTAGCGAAAAAAGCGCCCCCCACCCCCACACACACTCATCACAACCATCTTGGACAAAGTTTGTAGAGCGGTTTTTAACGTAACTAACTTTTTTTAAAAAATTTTACACAATTATACAATGCACAGTACAATTCGTTTCTTTCTGAGAGCTAAAGGTTGTTTACTCAGAATCCTGTGTAATTTTGCTATTTTATTTAGCCTAAAAGCGCCCCCCCCCCCCTGCACCATCTTGATAAAAGTCACTAACGTATTTTACAGTTCGACAATCGTACAATACGTTTTAATACAATTGGTTTCTTTTAATAGTGGTAACGTTTATCGACTCAACAATCTAGTGTAAATTCTTCCGTTTTAAGTCTCGAAAAAGCGCCCCCCCCATCTAGGAAAAGCTTCAAAGCGGTTTTGCCGGTCACTGTTTCTTAAGAGTATATGTTTTACATTAAGAAATCAAGGTAGAAAACAGTTAAATCAGTATGTAAAGGCGTGTAGCCATTACATTTCTTAACTTAGACAGTTTATAATTCAAAACTGCAGCATAAAATCAGCTTTAAAATTTTTTTCCCACCCCGTTTGGCGCCCCCATAGGGTCGGCGCCCGGGGCGGCCGCCACCCCCCCCCCCCCCGCCCCCCCCTAGCTACGCCTCTGGGATACTGTAGGGGAAGGGGTGGTATACTATAGGGGAACGGGTGGGATAAATTTAGCAAATATTTTTAAAATGTGTGGGTGGCTGGCAAATGTCTACAAGAATGAAATTCCGATTTTGAACAAGATGGACGAGTCGATACGGTGTATGTGCTGTCTTGCTACGTTAAAATGCAGTAGCAGGCGGTGGTTGAAGGGCAGCTATCTGTAGCTGTTGGCTAGCTAGCCGTTTATTCCGTCTTCGCTTAAGAACTGAAACAGAAAAGCAATTCACTCCATCAGTAAAAAACTTCAAACGTACACCCACCACCAACACCAACTCTGTTGATTACAAAAGCAATTAACTCTAACAGTGAAAACTCCAAACCTTACCACTACTTCCATACCGGAGATTACTACATGTCTTTGTTAATTTACTGAGTGGGGTGTCTAATAAAATAACGTACTTATACAACAGATCGTCAATGTGAAGATCGATGTAACTATTACAGCAAGCGGTATTTCAAATGAGAACATTGTTTTCACGTGGATATTGATATTGATCGCCAGATTTCTAAAAGTGGTATTAAAGGAAAGTTTGTATTAGAAGTAAACGGAAGGTGTTACACAAAAAGCAGTAAAAAGTTCGCGCTTAATTAAATTATACGTACAGAAACATGGAGTCCCCTGAATTGTAATTTAATTTGAAAGTGAGTACTTCTGCTGTAAACATAAATTTATTTATTTAAATACAGTTTAACATAATGGGAGGGAAAGTTCTATGGCTAAGGAGTAGAACTCTTTAACATAAAAGTTAGCCATTTGTTCAAACATAACTACCACATATGTGATATCGCACCCACACGGATTAGATCAGTGTTTCTTCCAGACTTTTTGAGATGCCTTGAAGAAACTCTGGATTAGATTAGGAATAGGAAAATGCTGGGAATTAAATCTGATGAGAGGAGCAGATAGAAAATGAGAGTGGTTTGTGCACGCTTAAAGCGTGAGGTCTAATAGTAGTAGTGTGCTTAGAGATCTGATTTATTTCCGTATGGTTTAGTTGTAGCAAAAACATAGATTTTAATATGAATAAAAAAATTGCCAGCCATTAAATATATTAAAAAAAAAATCATGCAATACAACCAATACAAACGCTAAAGTAAGCGTAGCGAAATTTGTGAGGCTAACTTGCACAATACATGTTAAAAATTATTTGCTTTTCTGATGTCAATCCCTAAGCACACACGCTTTTAATCTCGTACGCTGTAGATAAAGAATAATTTTGTATTGCTAAGTTACGAAGCAGTCAACATCAAATGATATGTTAATATGCAGTTTTGGCATTTGGCGTCACCGCATTTCACTTCGATGGGCCGTGTATTAAGTGCTGATCAGTACATTGTTTGGTGTCACCCAGCTCCTCCCGTTTTGTCTAAGGGCGTCGACTTGTGCATTAATTATATTAATTTGGTCCACCTATTAATTCAAGTTGAAAAAGCACAGTTTCATTGCAAATTCTTAAATGTGGTCGTTGATTGATGTTTCAGATATTAAAACATTTTAACAAAATATTTTCCACCTGTGTCATTTCCCCCCCCCCCTTAGTTGTAATAGCTTAAATATGTGCACCCATGCTGTTTATCTATGGTCGGTTATTAATACAATTGGTTGTAGTAGTTGTTTTTATAGTTAGCAAGTCTTCGGTCGCCGATATCAATAATTTTTACTTAATTAACCGATTATCTAACTTTTATTTCTCTGCACTGAACTGGAAAAAAAAGCATTTGGTTCTTCTGTGAATGCTGCATTCTTTTGGCCTTGGTGTCCCCAGCCCCCACCCCAAAACGGTGTCACCCGGTGCGGTCCTCAACCCCCCCCCCCCCCCAATCCCCCCTCTTGCAAGACCTCTGATTTATATATCTCACCGTAATGCTGATTGATGCGGAGCTTCGCGATATTTCCGGGGAGTTTGACCGCCTGTTCGATGCGAACACTGGGGTTTTTGCTCTCTTTGTCATGGGTAATCCTTAACAGGGTGTAGACCCTCATCTCATCGGTGTCAGGGGTCAAGTCCTGGTCCAGCTTGGTATCTTTGATGTCGGTGACGGTTACACTTAACTAAAGACGAACGAAAAAGTTCAGCTGATAAAGGTTTATTGGGACACGAGTAAATTATCTTCGCTTTATATTTTACAAACAGCAAGCGTAACGGTTCAACGGAATATCGTATTGAAGTTGATTCTGCTAGTACTGTTACAAGCGTTATACTTATGTATAATTTGGAGAAAACAAACAGGATTAAATGGCAAGACTATGGGCAAGATAAAGGTCAAAGCTAAATTTAGTAGAAGCAGCGTCAATGTTCTACGTGGGCTGTCTTAGAAGAAAAATAAAATGGTGGTAGTTGATGTTTCTCGTGAAAAAAAAACAGTTAACTGAATAATAGTTTTAATCGAAAATCTATTAGAAATTTGAACAAAAGTGGTCAAAAATATTTAATAACAGGTGTAATAAATTCCTAAAAACTGTATGTATTCTTTAGTAAGATTTTTTTTTGTTTAAGGCGTTTTTCCAAGAAAATGTATGCATGATATATTTTGTGATCAAATATGTTGTACTTAGATAGATGTGTCTTTGATGTCTTTTGTCCGCGTTGAAAGCTAGTAGAACTTTTTTTTTAAAATTAATATTCATTAAAAACTAGAGATGGTTGATTTTTTTGTTATTTGAAAGGGCTACCAACACGTTATGCTTAATTAGTTTAACTGCTCAGGAAGTTGCTGTCTACGATTTCGGCAGATGTAATTTTTATGATTTTTGTTAGGCAAATTAAAGACTACCACCAAACAGCTTCTTACTTTTACGCGTTCGGTGCTGTCTCCCTTGGTTTCGTGGACAGTAAATTTCAAACAGATGCTAATTAACTTGTCCAAGTGGTCAACCTGAAATATGTAGTCGAGATCCGGCTTGGTCGTTTTATTTTCGGTACCGTCTGGGGAACAAAGCAGGTGCTATTAATAGGGAACAGTTGGGCTTAATGTGATATAGGGAACTATAATGGTGATGTTTAGTAGGGAATGGTAGGATTTAATGTGATATAGGGAACTATAGTGGTGATGTTTAATAGGGAACAGTAGGGCTTAGTGTGATATAGGGAACTATAGTGGTGATGTTTAATAGGGAACAGTAGGGCTTAGTGTGATATAGTGAACTATAGTGGTGATGTTTAATAGGGAACAGTAGGGCTTAGAGTGATATAGGGAACTATAATGTTGATATTTAATAGGGAACAGTAGGGCTTAATGTGGTATAGGGAACTATAATGGTGATGTTTAGTAGGGAACAGTAGGGCTTATTGTGGTATAGGGAACTATAGTGGTGATGATTTGTAGGGAAAGGTAAGGAATAGTGTGGTCAGACCCATGCTCAGCCGAAATCGGTATTTTAAAAGACAAAAACATGTCTGAGGTGTGACGTCTTTTTGAATGTGGGGGTCTGGTCTTTTGTGTGATAATAAGTGAGAGTAGGGAGGGGAGGGAAAAGTTAAAATTTACCAAATAAACATGTCGTCATTTATGGATGACCTTTGTAACACGCGATTATTCAAGAATAAATGGGTAGTCTTGTTATTTATCTAATTATCATGTATGTTTGCATTATATATTAAATTGCCTCTCATAAAAATAAACAGATTCCTAGTGATAAGATGCAACACAAATATTTATTTTGACCATTTTATTACATCAAGTGTTGTTTACTGTTGATTCCATTTATACATATTTTTGTCAATTGCGTGTAAAAAAATTGGGCCTTTGGTTTAAATAGTGCAAATCTTATCTTCATTTCTTTTGTGAATAACCCATTTCATCCCAAAGTAGTATTTAATTTGTGTTGTGTTTGTGTTTTGTTTTGTGTTTGCGTTGTTTTTTAGTTTGTGTTTGCGTTTAGTTTTGTTCTGTTCTGTTCCCAAGTTGGTACATTTAAAAAAAGATTTACCGAGGCGGAGCACGAGTATGCAGCGAGTTTAAATATGTGCATATTTGATCATAGTATATAACATATGCAACGTATGCAAATAAACTCAAAAGCTCGTAGCATTTTATATTATGCTTAGGAACTGTTGATTTATTAGTTACAGCATGAAATCGCCATATTACAATTAATTGCCAACAAAAAGATATATTACACATGTTTGTTATATTGTTTTAATTCTGTCACTGGTCGAAAGAAAAAAGCGCATACTGCCTAATATTTTAAAATCGTACATGAATTATTTTGATATTGTTCTATTTTTATTTGCACTCAGAGCATTTTTATCATTTTGTCTTACCCGAAAAATAAAAAATAAATAATAAAAAAAAATACTATATTCACGGTACGTTTTGTAATAGTGATGCATAGAGGGGGGGGGGGGGGGGGAATCACTAACAAAACAGATAAAAATACATTTGAATATTAAAATACTAGATCCCTGATGTTTGCTAATAGACTTAACATTTCTCATATAATATTAAAACTCAGGTTTCCAGCAAAAGCCCGTTGACTTACCATTGATACGCTTATCGGAAAACAGGATTTCGACGCTTTCGTTGGCCGGGTACGTATTGACAATTTTTGTAAAGTCCATCTCGCCAAAATGTGCAGTGCACCTGACGTCATGGGGGCAACTCCCCACAGCGCACACATCGGGTCTGCTGCTCTCAGTACTGTGCGCCTCTTTAACAAATGAATCCATCGAGTCGTTTCTACTGCTGCATTTATCCTGACACTGAGGTTCAAACCATCCGACATCGCAGCCTGCAAAAAGTTGATAAAAAAATTCAACACTTTCTTGTATCCAATTTTTTCTTTATACACAATCACAGAGAGTTAAGAACAGTTTAATTTACAATAGGCTTGAAAAGCCTGTTTACAACGGTTCAAAATTTTTGTTGCCAGAAAGCATATTTTGCAACCAAATTGATTATTTTACATTTGTGAAGTAAGGCAAAAAAAATGTAAAACAAAATAATAGTAGCCAAAAAAAATTTAAAACAAATTAATAATAGTTATACATATATTAATATATATATATATATATATATATATATATATATATATATATATATATATATATATATATATATATATATGGTGACAGGACAAATGATCTCAGGACAAATGATCTCAGACAAAATATCTCAGACAAAATATCTCACGGACAAAATATCTCAAGACAAATGATCTCAGGACAAATGATCTCAAGGACAAATGATCTCACGGACAAAAGATACCAGGACAAAATATATCAAGACAAATGATACCACGGACAATTGATCTCAGACAAAATATCTCAGACAAAATATCTCACACCTAAATTTTAATAGTGTATTGGATGATTTTAATTGATCTGAATTTTTTTTATTGACTGTCTTATGGTTTTGTTTACTATTTTTAATATTGTTTATAGGCCTATATAATAATTGTAAGAAATGTTTGCCGTATAAATGTGTCATATTGCACTAAACATTTTAAGGTTAGTATTAGTAATATAGTATACCAAGATTAAAGAAATAATTTCCAAAGACAGCGTAGGTGTGCTTGACAAACATGAGACAATCCTACCACGTAGGTGGACGAAACTAGATCTAAGGGAATGAACTAACAATAAAGACACACCTTCGTATCAAGGTGGCAGCCAGCTTTGGCGACAGAGACATGCCTTAAGGGAAAGACAACCGACCTCCATGGACAATACAACTAGTATCTAAATTCTATTGTTATGCGTCGGCCACACCTTAGTGATCAGGTGACTAATGCTTATTTAAATGACAGTGGTCATCGTGGAGCTAAGTGTGTCGTAGTGTGCATCAAACAAAGCTGTATTAATGGTGATTGCTTTGCTATGGTCTCTTTCGTTATCTCGCAGAAAGGTATTTGGACATTAGTTTCTGGTGAATTTATGTTTGCCATAAGTAGGCAAAGAGATAAGGAAATGTGAAATTAGGACATGTCGAGCAAGAGTTCACACAATACATGATCACATAGTATTGGAGACGTGTGATCATAACGATGTACCTACAAGAAAAGAAACTTACACGTTATGTTTGTGTTGATAATGTAATAAAAACAATAGTTTAACGTTACGAACCTTAAGACCCATTCACATTTTTGAAAGATATTTCGCGTGATATGAATATCAATGTTGTATAGCTACCATTACTTTATTTGTTTTATACATCATCATTTATTATACCTTTCAGGCTAAAAGAGTAAGTTTGTTTATTAATATTTATTTTTTCAAATCAAATGCTACTACAATTGCTTAATACACCTTTTGATGGTTTGTTAGGTTTCACTAATTCATTTTGTTCACAATTATTATACGTAAAAAGTAAACAAAACCATATTAACAGTCAATAAGAAAGTTCAACTAAATTCATCGTAAATACTATTAAAAATTCGTTGTGAGATATTTTGTCTGAGATATTTTGTCTGAGATTATTTGTCCATGGTATCATTTGTCCTGATATATTTTGTCCTGGTATCTTTTGTCCGTGAGATCATTTGTCCTTGAGATCATTTGTCCTGAGATCATTTGTCCTGAGATCATTTGTCCGTGAGATATTTTGTCTGAGATATTTTGTCTGAGATCATTTGTCCTGAGATCATTTGTCATGGAACCATATATATATATATATATATATATATATATATATATATATATATATATCGGTTCGGCTCGTAATAGTAATTAAGCTAACATTTTTATTTGTAATTTCTGTTGTGGTGATAGGGAATTGTATATTATATAATATAAACAAGGATTTCTCCCAAGACCGCTATATTGTATTTTATCTTGGAAAAAAATGGGTGTGATTTTTATTGTTTTAATTTTTCTGGCCACTACCGTTGACTTCGATGAGGTGGTTGAGGGGCTTTTTTTAAAAAAAATATTTGAATGGATAAAATAATTCTAAATGGCTTTTTTATGGCTTTTCATTACAAAAATATGAAAAGAATGTAATCGATGGTTCCCAACCAGCTTTTAGATATTATAATATATCTATAATTTTATCGCTAGCCATATTTTCAACACACATTTTTTTTTTAATTTAGTATGATTACATAGATTTTTCAAACCTATTGCAACAAGCCTTAATGAATCTTCAATATATTTGTACTTAATCAATTATTTACAAAAGTATTATTGTTATTACGAGAAGCTTAGCAAAACATATACATTGAAGCTGCGATATTCAATCATTTAAAGACATTTTGATCTATATTTAGGTTGGACAACAGTTGAAAATGTTCTTACCTACTAGATCTATAGGACAACTAATGTAAAACACGAAAAGTAGGCCTACTTCTTTCCACATCTTTTTTTCTCTATCGACAATAAATTATACTTTGACTAGGCTGATTTAATTCTTTCTTTTTTTTATCCAACGTTATTAAGTGCGCGTTCTCATGTTAAATTTCAATTAATTCAGGAAATTATAATGTAAACATAGTGTTTGTTTCTGGTAGATATGTAAGCTGCTCGTTCAATTTCGATGCGCAACGGTGTGAAAAAAAAGATATCAACATAAATAGTGCGCTATATAGTTTTAAATATTTTGAAATAAATTATTATTTATACCTAATAGGAGGTAAGTTCTTTTCACGAAAACTGTTTACCTTTTAACAAGTCAACCGAAGAGCATCCGAATGTTGTATAACTAAACCTAATGCACTCCTTTACACCACCACATTACAAAAACTCACTCCGTCTTATCACTAGCCTCAATCCACCACTACAGCTAATACACTCTTCCACAAAACCAGCCTTGCTCCTACGCGACACTAGAGCATACTTCACATAACTAAACGCTACACCACAATACTCTTAACTCACTCCTCTACATACCATGCTCAATCCGACTGCCCCTCCCTCAACTTGTCCAAACTCACGAACACCGTATGGCCTGACTTTATCCATTGGCCCGATCCCTTGATGTAATCCATTGAACCAATAACCTACCTGCTCTACTGATCTAATCATATGACCTAAACCATCGACCTAATCAACTGACCTAATCGATTGACCTAATCCCATAACATTATTAAATGACCCAACACCATGTAACAATCCCAATTTCATAATCCCCTGAACTTCTCCAATCAAACGACTGAGTTCTAACATTTGTATTGTTGACATTTCTTAGTATCATCTAATTCCCTTTCATTTATGCTTTCAGTCACCTAGTCTAGTTTGATAGTTAAGGCAGGTTTATTGTGTTTTCTCAGTGGCCTAGGGAGGGGGGGGGGGGGGGTTAGGGGGGGTCATAACCCCCCCCCCCCCATAGACCCCTCGGTATATAGAAAAAGTATGAGTGGGGGGTGCAAAATTGAAAGTTTGAGGGGGTGCAAATCGAAAGCTTGAGGGGGGGATGCAAATCGAAAGTTTGTCCCCGGGTAAAGAATTGGAAACCCCCCCCCCTTGAGACGATCCTGGCTACGCCACTGTGTTTTCTTATCTTCATTTTCATTTACTCCACTGCCCCCCGCCATTTTCAGTGTTTGACTCCTCTATTCGTTGATGCTGTCGTCTCAGTTTTCTTCTTTTCACTGCATCTTTTTTTTTTACTGATCACTTTCCCATGTAGGACAACTTTCGATATCTCTAACTATATTGTTACACAGCACACCAGTTTGATTTTTTAAAGCGATTGTTGACAGAAAAATATGATGACTAATCGCCTTTAGAATCTGTCATTCACTATTATAGGTCTGCTATAGACATAACTACTTAATCTTTTAATATTTTGATTATTACGTAGAAATAAAATTGTTTCAATAAGTTTTCAGTTTTTTTTTATTTCTTGGACACAATCCCCAAAATGGGCAATTATTTTTCTGGACTTCAGTCTATTACCCAGTTTTAATTTTGGTTGTGTAGTGTATCTCTGAGAGGACGGGGTGTCCAGCGGTAGAGAGCTAAACCGCTAAACCAAAAGTCTCAAGTTTGAATTCTGGTTCAAGTTAGTAGACCGTCCCTGAGTCCACTCAGCTCTGATGGGTACCCTACAAAGACGGCTGTGCGTAGTCCTGACAACTCTATCCATTCATACGCCGATGTCCCTGAACCGTCTCTGAAACAGATGAACGCTTCTTCAACTGTCCCGTGTGTTTTTGGAACGAAAGGGAAAGGATGGTGCGGATGAGTATATCACTGTATATGCTTTACATAATGTGCAGGCATATCTTAAATACACATTTTCAATATAGCTGTTAAAAAATTCTCAACAGCGAAATGATTTTAGGCGTTGATTTATTTGAGAAATTAAACAAACGATAGTATGTACTCAACGGTAAGGCTGATTTTAACACGTTTTTTAACACGTTTTTATTAACTCAGCTTCGCGTGTGTTTGTTGTTAAAATTGACATCGAAAATTAGCCCACTTCTGATTGCTCTATAGATCTGAAATTTGGCATGCAGGTTACTTTCGCCTAACAATTTCAGATGCAATCATAAAAACTAGCAATTAGAGACCGTAATTAGCTTAATTTAATTACGCCCAAAGGACCATAAAATTGAGGACATGATTTCTAAAGATACCGACAAGACTGGAGGCTTGTTGACACAGTTACTTCGGCCCCAATCGATGTGAGCGCGCTGGCCGTGATCGTATAGTGGTTAGTACTTCGCGTTGTGGCCGCGACAACCCAGGTTCGAATCCTGGTCGCTCAAGATTTTTTTAGTCCGTGTATTTATAAACACTTAGTCAATTCATACTTAATCAAGTCATTAGATAAAGTAGAAAATAAACTATATAAAAAACTTTTTTAAAAAACACGTTTTTCATGTGTAGCAACGGACTAAAAAGGAGAAAATAAAATACTTAAAAAAAACTTTTTAAAAAACCACGTTTTTCTTGTGGACTAAAAAGTAGAAAATAACTATTTACATACATTTGATGACAAAAAACGTGGGTCGGGCAGATGGGTCGGGAAATTTGATGGTGAACGTACCCACGTTTTTTGTCATCAAATGTATGTAAATAGTTATTTTCTACTTTTTAGTCCACAAGAAAAACGTGGTTTTTTAAAAAGTTTTTTTTAAGTATTTTTATTAACTCAGCTTCGCGTGTGTTTGTTGTTAAAATTGACATCGAAAATTAGCCCACTTCTGATTGCTCTATAGATCTGAAATTTGGCATGCAGGTTACTTTTGCCTAACAATTTCAGATGCAATCATAAAAACTAGCAATTAGAGACCGTAATTAGCTTAATTTAATTACGCCCAAAGGACCATAAAATTGAGGACATGATTTCTAAAGATACCGACAAGACTGGAGGCTTGTTGACACAGTTACTTCGGTCCCAATCGATGTGAGCGCGCTGGCCGTGATCGTATAGTGGTTAGTACTTCGCGTTGTGGCCGCGACAACCCAGGTTCGAATCCTGGTCGCTCAAGATTTTTTTAGTCCGTGTATTTATCAACACTTTTTTAAAAACCACGTTTTTCATGTGTAGCAACGGACTAAAAAGGAGAAAATAAAATACTTAAAAAAAACTTTTTAAAAAACCACGTTTTTCTTGTGGACTAAAAAGTAGAAAATAACTATTTACATACATTTGATGACAAAAAACGTGGGTCGGGCAGATGGGTCGGGAAATTTGATGGTGAACGTACCCACGTTTTTTGTCATCAAATGTATGTAAATAGTTATTTTCTACTTTTTAGTCCACAAGAAAAACGTGGTTTTTTAAAAAGTTTTTTTTAAGTATTTTATTTATGTTTTAATTAAACTTATATGCGTGTAATTGTCTTTGTTTTAATGTGGAACCGTGTGTGTGTTTAGCATGCAGAATTAAGTATTATTCTAAGGCTAACTTACAGTTCAAGACATATAGATCATTCAAGTAGGCCTATTTCAGTGGCGTAGGCAGGGGGGGTTAGGGGGGGCAGAACCCCCCATAGACCCCTCGGTAGATACATAAAGGTTGAGCGGGGGTGCAAAGTCGAAAGTTTGAGAGGGGGGTGCAAATCAAAAGTCTGAAGGGGGGGGGTGCAAATCAAAAGTTTGTCCTCGGGGAGGGACACTACGCCTCTGATAAATACATTTATGATGCGGGAAAAAAATTTGAACCTCTCCATGAGACGATCCTGGCTACGCCACTGGCCTATTTATTCAAGTAAAGAAAACATAGATAAGAAAAACGATAATGTGTCATTAAAGTTATGTTTTTTTTTCATTGCTGAGTTTGATTACGATTCGATTTGTATCTCATGTTGCACATTGTATTTACAGGAAAAATTAAATACTAGTTTATTCCAGTAGCTAGAAGTCAAAATTATACAGTAGAATATAGACGAATGGTAATTTATAGCTTTTATAGTGATTTTGGCTTCATGATAATATGCAGTATAAAAAATCATTTATCCAACGAAGACCATTTGTGGAGTTTCAGCTGGCATGTCAAACTGAAGTAGAAAACAATTGAAATAGTTGATTAACATGCAAGCAAATATTTTCTTTTAAGTCATGGGGAATAAAATCTAAAATTATAGTATGCAATAACCTATAGATTACTTTATTATTTTTTTAAATCATGGTATTTTCATCTGTTAGGTTATTTGTGTCAGTTATTGCGTAAATGTGTACACCATATGTTAATTTATCCGTCAGGTTGTTCGTCCGTCGTTTGACTGTCAATCCGTCATTTTTCCTATTTATCGTGTTTCTGTCAGTTCGTTAAATCTTCCGTCCGTCAGTTGTGTGTCTGTCTGTTTGTAGGCTTGGACAACTGCCTGGTGAAATAACTACTCTAAGTGATCAGCACATTAATATGGGCTCTATAAAGAAACGTGTACCTGAGTACGGTGGAGGCGGCATATTGGGTGCTTGTTGTTGGGCAGAAAGAGACACACTATTGTATGTCGCAATGTATCTTGTCGTGTATGGAGGCGGCACATTCTGTGCTTGATGCGATGGAGCAGACTGGCAGTTGTAGCTTTCAGATGTCAGTGTTGTGCATGGGGGCGGTTCGACTCTTAGTTCAAGTAGACTGGAATATGTCGGTGGTGAGTCGTTTGGGGCAGAACTCTGTATTGATGTGTGTTGTTGCGACTCAGTAGTTAGTGTGCTGTTACTTGGTTGAACAAGTTCGTTTACGCGTGTTGAACTCCTGTCATTTTGATCAGGTCCAGGAGCCATTTCTGGCGTTAACTGAGGAGTAATACTGATAACACGCATGGCTTCATTGTGTCTTTGTAAACGTTTCACTTTTTTCTTACGGCAGCAACAACAAACAGCCAGTGTAGTTAAAACGAACAAAGCTATAAATGGTAAAACTATGACGGTTATCTTTAGAGCTACACTACTTGTGTAGTTTTCAGCTGCAGGCTCGGGTGTGGTTGGGAACAGGAATTGGAATGGGGTTGTCAGGAATGGTTGTTCGGGGTATGTATTTAAGTAGACGTCCGGTGCGTTGGTACTGCTCTTCGTGGTAACATTATCGGCTGGAAAAAAAATTAAATTGTACGTTTAAAATTGGAAAACTCAATAAGAACCTGTCCAATAAGCAGACCATTTAACATAACGTGTATGTTGTGTCTGTGTATGATTAATAGAGGATACGTGTTGGGCAGATCAATATTGGTTTCTGAAGAAAATATAATTTTATTGTTTTTATTTTGGACAAGTCGTTTATTAATTAATGCAGTTTTCATTTATTTATTTATTTATTTATGAACAGATGGGTGACGTACGAAATTGTTAATCTTGACAAGTATACTTAAAATAAAGCGAAGTAAGCTAAATCTAATATACTTATTGTAAACAATAGTTTTCATTAGTTAATTGACTTATTTTTGTTCTACGTGTATGTTATTTTGCCCATACATGTCGTAATCTACCTCATGTAATGCACCATACACATTCACAATCAGTTTGCAAATGAATAATTCTACGAAAATTACATCTAACCCCCTATAGAACTTTATAACAAATCTTACGTCTAACCATATTCACACTGTTAAAACTAATCGTATTTCTAACATTGTGTAGAATGCAACAAAAAACGTACATATACACGTATTTGGAATAATACAACGAAGTATGAATGTAACCGTTAATAGAATAATGCTACAACAAATACATCTTGCAATAAAAACATATGCTTAAAATGCTACCCAAAAAAATCATACAACTAACAGCATATATAGTTTTGTAACAAAACTTACATCTAACGTAATCCACAACATTCATCAAGCATCGATCTTGCTCCCTTTGAAAAAAATCTGATGAACAAAAAACTCTCAGCATGTCTTTGTCCACATGTTTCACGGTCAGATTAGATTGATACAAATTGAGGCCCCACATTCGAGAAGTCTGTAGTTCAAAATTTGCTGTTGAAAGAAAATTTATAATTAATACCATAATTTAGCCTAATATAGCAATCTTTAAAGATCAATTACTTATACTCCACTTCCTTCTGTCTTATCTCCAATATCATTCTTTATACGTTTTTATTATCTACCCAACAAAGATCAATTACGTATACACCGCTTCCTCTGTCTTATCTCCAAAATCATTCTTTTTACGTTTTGTATTATCTACACAACATGTATTTAAAAATTATGATGTATTAAATTAAGGAAAATGTATAAATGATGTTTGATATTTTCTGCATGTATCTTACCGCTTGAACCCCTTGCTCCAGTGGGGAAGCGGTGAGAGAGGAACAATGTTAAATAAAATAAAAAAAACAAAAATTGAACTTATTACATTAGAATTGCAATCTGATCAGTTCTTAAACTACTTGTTAAGTTTTTAAAAAATGGTTCGGTAGAAGTCAAAATTGTGTTCGTCCTTCGATACACGACGGACGGAAAAAAACTAGTTCGAAAGAGGAATCAAGCTGAATAAAAGCTTTGTATAAGATCAGGAAATACAAGTTCTACCTACTTGGATTGTACCAGATGACACATCTGGTGTATGGCGTGTAGCATGTCGTGACCAGGCTTATCTTCTCTCCGTTGACTTTTTGTAGGAACCATTCAAGACTTTGACTACCATATAAATTACAATTACAGGTGAAGTGGTCTCCTTGGTTTAGTGTGTGGATCGGTGAATCAATGGACGTGGCTGTTTCAACGATAAAGAAATCTCTTGTACAGCCATACTAGATTGGATAAGATACTCAGTCACACTGGCTAGAGTATGAATGTCAGGCATATTGTTGAGTGTAATTTATTCAACCAAATCGGCTGAGTAAGAAATTCAGCCAAACTGGTTAGTCAAAAATAAACAAATACAGATAGTGAGGCCAATACAGTGACTACCTTTCACTAGTAACACTTTATAGGCTGACCAAATTAATCAAACTAACAGAGTTTCTTCCAGTCTTCCCCTCCCCCCCCCCCCCACAAACGAGATGGAATTTATATAGTAAGCATACTTTAAATAATGTTGGATACTTATTAGAGCTGGATGGACTATTGCTATTGCCTAACAATAGAATTTAAGTATCCTAATCACTATAGGTTTCATGAAAATAAGCCCCATTGTAGAATCATTGAGCTCCTAACAAAACGTTTTTTCCCTAAATTTGTGCTTGTATGTAAAGTTGGCTCCTATATATTTTCTTGTATGTGTAGTGAGCTTCTATATTTGTTCTTGTATGCTAATTTAGCTCCTATATCTGGGGAGGGGATTGTAGGGGGTCGCTTTGTGATATCGAAAATAACATTTAATCTATGAGGCGACCATTAATGACATTACGGTATATTTTAGAACATAAAGATTAAATCATTGATTTTAGAAAGAAGAAATTCCGGAACAGTTTTTGTGCAGTATGATTTTTAAAACTAGTGGTTTTTTTCCTGACTGCGCTGAAGCTGAGCATATAGATATGTAAACTGATTTTTGTTTTTAAAATTGGAGTATAACATTCATTTTAGATTTTTTTTTATTCGGCAGGCTTTTGTATTGCTACACACAGACCAGGAAGTAAAAACTAAACGTCCACAGATGAAACATATTTTTTTTTTAAAAAAGCTTGTTTAAAAAGGTTCTAAGCAAACCATACATCTTACATCCGAACAAATGTTAGAACAAAAAAAAATAATACCTCCGAAAGTATCCACAACATTCAGTATACAGTTGTCAGTGTATTCACGAAAATAATCGGGTGAGCAAAGAAGTCGTAACATGTCTTGTTTGACGTGTTGGACAGTGATTTTATTCACAGTTTTATTAACTTCTAAAAATATATCACCTAAAAGAGAATGTAGATTTTCATCTTTAAAAAATCAAATTCAATGTGTAAACGACGTTTTAATTTATACATATATATATATATATATATATATATATATATATATATATATATATATATATATATATATATATATATATATATATATATATATATATATATATATATATATATATATATATATATATATATATATATATATATATATATATAAACTAGATGCAAGTCTTACTACCAACAACATTATTTTAAAATAAAAACAAACATACATAAATTATATCAAAATAGCGTTTTTATGCAACCTGACCCTACGAATATCATAGATCCACCACCACACCAGGTAAAGACCCGCTGCCGGTGTACAACATACAATCCAACACAATAAAACAAAACCCAACCCTACCCGACATTAAAAATATTAATTTAAGTTATACATGTATTCTTACCTTTATAATTCTGGACTGAGCAATTATTGTATGGATAGGGACAATTGGTGATGAGGGGTATTTTTTCTCCATTTACTTTTTGTAAAGTCCATGATATTTCTCTTTTAATATTATAATATGTTAGACACCCACAGGTAACTGGGTCTCCTATTTGGAGTGTGTAGATCACTGCAAAACAACTTCTCACTGTTTGTGTAGAGAAAATATTACGATAATTTTTATTTCTGTATAGATTTCGATTTTCTGCTTTAAGAACTAGAATAAAGAGTTTAACCAAAAAAAAAAACTAGAATAAGTCATTATGTCGCAAGGACTACCAATGCTTTTCAGCTTTAAGTATTAAATAAATTATTCAGACATTATGAATACATTGAAATATTCTATCATACAGACTAAAATACGTCATTTAAATCTTCCAGGCTAAAATTATGTATTTTGAAATGACAAATTAGCCATATACAGTTCTAAATGTTAGATATTTTATCCAAGTAATTTGGGATTTTTAAACGAGCTGAAAGACATGATTTTTATTTGTAAATGTGTAAATTTAAATGGAGGATGTTCTTTTTGAGAATTCGCAAGAAAAAAATACAGGGCGTAAACAATGTTTTATTTTAACACATTACTTTTAGAAGCATTAACTACTCTTGTCAATTTCAAAAAGACAATAATGAAACTGCAAAATAGTTTCTGAAATTTAAGTGTATTAAAGTAGCTTGATATTAACTGAAAATTTTATAAGGATGTCATTTTTAAAAAAAAACACATTTTTACCTTTTAAATTACTTTTTGAAACCATCTACAACAAATATAATCCTTGCAAGTGTGTATATTTTGAAAATGAAAAACCCCCAAAATATCAAGTATAGACGTAAAATTTTCGATTTTACTTGAAAATAATTGTCAATATTCAAGAAAATGTAGAAGAAATTATTCTCCTGCGAAGTAAGTAATATTTATGAATGTTTTGAAATTTCAAAAGATAAAATTAATTATTTAAAATAAAGAAATCGTACAGTACCTTTGATGACAAATAAGATTAAAAATAAAATGCTAAATTTCATTTTTCTTTATTTGAGGTCACGTATTACACAATAAGCGACTGTGTTTCACAGTAGGTAGATGTGTTACACTAAAAGTAGATGCATACACAGTGAGTAAAAGTGATGAATAAGTATCCAATTATTATAAACGTAAATGCTATCTAACGTACATCTTAACCAACACCAACACTCTATTTAAAGTAATGTAAATAATCCTCTATAGACCTAGCTATTAATTGGGCAGATAAAGTAGAGTTCATATGATTCTAGACCTTGGCACTTGAAGGGAAGTTGTGGTCAGCACTCTGCTCTGTCGCTTTTACTTTCCCTAATATGAGTTACGTACCTAGTCGCTTTTACTTTCCCTGATATGAGTTACGTACCCAGTCGCTTTTACTTTCCCTGATATGAGTTACGTACCCAGTCGCTTTTACTTTCCCTAATATGAGTTACGTACCCAGTCGCTTTTACTTTCCCTAATATGAGTTACGTACCCAGTCGCTTTTACTTTCCCTAATATGAGTTACGTATCCAGTCGCTTTTACTTTCCCTAATATGAGTTACGTACCCAGTCGCTTTTACTTTCCCTAATATGAGTTACGTACCCTGTCGCTTCTACTTTCCATAATATGAGTTACGTACCCATCTGAGCTGGGTTGATTTATGTACCGATCTGCGTTGGATGGACTCAAATGACTTGAACCCGGATCGAACTCGACTTTACGGTTAGCAGTCTAGCGCTCTACCTCTTAGGCCACGCTAAATAGCACTGTACAAAAAATAATCAACGAACTGTATCTACTTTTATAAATCTATCAGATTCTTGGTGTGTCTCTATAGAGTCTAGTCTATACGTACTTAATTAATGTATTACACCTTATTTACATCTACCAATCTAGCGCCTTTGCAGCTATACATTCTTGGCTTGAATACCAAATAAAAAGTGATTTCACAATGGAACAAAAAATCAATAATATCTATCGTTTTTTTTTGCTGTAGCTAATTAAGATGGTGATCTACAAAACCGCGATTAAAAAATGATCGTTAATATATTGCACTTTTTTATCTATGTTTTACATAAAACGTACTTTTTATTTACAAACAATAGTATCTAATAATATAAATCGATGAATCTAGCACAGGAAAATTAAAACACATCTTCCTTGTTGAAAAAAACACAAGAAAATGACACACGGCTTGAACTTTCAACAATACCTCAAGGGCAAAACGTTTTCCCGGTCATTCTATTTATAGCAGGCCACCAACTTACACACTGCTGTTATGTCCAGCGAACCGTGTCTATATTGTGTTCCTTTATATATTAAACCAGCCGGATATGTCAATCTAAGTTTCTAAGTTTAGGTATGTATTTGTGCCCGCAAAGATGTATTCAGAATTTCTTCAAGGCATCGTGCTCCCCCCTCCCCCCCCCACTGAGAAAAAAGTCTGAATGGAACACATGTCTGTGTTGTCAACCTAAATCAGGGGTCTCCAAACTACAGCCCGCGGGCCGAATGCGGCCCGCAAAGTCCTCTCATCCGGCCCGCGGAGATTTTTTTGTCCAAGGAAAAATTGTTTGTTGGTGATGATGAGAAACTTTGCGCAGAAAAATCAAAGACATGCCTGGAAGAAACTGGCCCCCGAACTAAAATTTGATAGTTAATGCGGCCCTCGGACTGAAAAGTTTGGAGACCCCTGACCTAAATCATGATGAATGGATTCGTACAAGGTTTTATATTCTTTTTAAATAAAAACCAAACTATGCAGAACGTATTGTATAACACGTTTTACATTCAGCGAACATAAAAAAAAAAATTAGATACCATATAGTATTCAATCCCAAAAACACCATATGAAGGCTAGAGTACAATAATAAATACATTAAAAAGTTTATAATTACAAGCTTTTATTAATGCACTAAAAAGAAGAAAATAATACAATTTTTATTAAATATAAAATAATTTTTAAAAATATAATAAATCTACGGTTACTTTAAATATAAAAAAAAATACTTTCTTTAAATATATCAATGCACTACTATTTATATCACTATAAATAAAAGCGTGGGTCGCTTGTTTAAATACTTATTACTATAGCGGCCAACGCTTGTATTTACATAAAAACATAAAAACATATAAAAACATATAAAAACATATAAAAACATATAAAAACATATAAAAACATATAAAAACATATAAAAACATATAAAAACTTATAAAAACATATAAAAACATATAAAAACATAAAAACATAAAAACGTAAAAACATAAAAACATAAAAACATAAAAACATAAAAACATAAAAACTTAAAAACATAAAAACATAAAAACATAAAAACATAAAAACATAAAAACATAAAAACATAAAAACATAAAAACATAAAAACATAAAAACATAAAAACATAAAAACATAAAAACATAAAAACATAAAAACATAAAAACATAAAAACATAAAAACATAAAAACATAAAAACATAAAAACATAAAAACATAAAAACATAAAAACATAAAAAAACATAAAAACATAAAAACATAAAAACATAAAAACATAAAAACATAAAAACATAAAAACAAAAAACATAAAAACATAAAAACATAAAAACATAAAAACATAAAAACATAAAAACATAAAAACATAAAAACATAAAAACATAAAAACATAAAAACATAAAAACATAAAAACATAAAAACATAAAAACATAAAAACATAAAAACATAAAAACATAAAAACATAAAAACATAAAAACATAAAAACATAAAAACATAAAAACATAAAAACATAAAAACATAAAAACATAAAAACATAAAAACATAAAAACATAAAAACATAAAAACATAAAAACATAAAAACATAAAAACATAAAAACATAAAAACATAAAAACATAAAAACATAAAAACATAAAAACATAAAAACATAAAAACATAAAAACATAAAAACATAAAAACATAAAAACATACAAAACATAAAAACATAAAAACATAAAAACATAAAAACATAAAAACATAAAAAAAAACATAAAAAAACACAAAAACATAAAAACATAAAAACATAAAAACATAAAAACATAAAAACATAAAAACGCAAAAACATAAACGCATTAAACCATTAAAACATTAAAACGTAAAACAGTAAAACATTGAAACATAAAAATATACAAACATACAAACATAATACTATAATAACATAAAAACACTGAAACATAAAAACATAAGAACATAAAACATAAAACAAAAAAACGTCAAATTATAGAAACATAAAAAAAACAATAAACATAAAAATATAAAATCATAAACATAAACACAAACACAAACACAATTTTCACTTTAACAATAACATAAGCCTTATTTGCGTTACTGCATTGAACACATTATTTGTACTTGTGTCTCGTATATTTTCATTAGACATAAGCATGTTGTGTATGCACTACTCTGTTGCATTTGTTTTTTTTTTTGTTTATTGTTTTACGTAAATGTTAGGTTTTGCAATTTTTTACTACGATTGTGTAAAAAACTGTATAATCTCACATAATATTATTCCAATATTTTCATGTCATTTATTTTAATTGTTAATGTTTTTTAAATCCAATCGCACAAACATATTACAGTTACCATTTCAATTTAGAAATGACTTCAAATGTCTTGAGTCTATAACGGCTCGTCTTAATTATAAACTTTACTGTTATTACAAAATAATCAACAGCTAACTGATTTTAATACATCGTTTTATTGGAGTTTGAAAAATGGCACTCGATGCAGAACACAATTGTACAACATGTTTTTAATGACCAAACAGCTAGACATATCAGGTAATCATGTATAGACAGTCACAAGTATAGTGCGTATAAAGCACACGTGAGCTTTACTATTATCTCAATTCCTTAAGGCGCCACGGTATATAAAATTGGACCGATGAATTCTATTGATTCTCATCTTATAATGTTTACTAAAACGAACGTGAAGAAAACAAAACATAACTACGGTAGAATTTATGACTACCACACACACACACACTTCCACACACAATACACGCACACGCACACGCACAAAACGCACACACACACATGTACACGCACACATACACAAACATACACACACAACACACATACATACACACACACACAAACTTCCTACAATCTCA